CGCAGTTCAAACAGTTCATGAACCATAACGCCACTACATCGGCAGTGGAGCATGACCGCTTCTGGAGGACGTATCTTACCAACACGGAGCCAAGCGTTATCAACACGGTGCCCGTGACCCAAACAACCGTTGCCCAACGCAAGCTTCCCGAGGGTCCTCTTCGCCGGTCGCTTCAACTCCAGGGGCTCTCACTGGGTGCCGTCCTCTATGGAGCGTGGGCCATTGTTCTCTCAAACCACACTCGCCATGCTGATGTGGTATTTGCAACCACTCTCTCCGGCCGGGATGTTCCCGTGCTTGATGTTGACCGTCTCGATGGTCCTACTCTGACTACAGTGCCCCAGAAAGTGAATGTAGCACCCGAGACAACTCTCTTACAGCTAGCCCAGACCGTACAGGCCAATCTGTTCAAAATATTGAAGCACTCACAGCATGGAATGCGCAATGCCCTTGCTGCAGGAAACCTTCCAGCCACTGGTCTTGATACAATGGTGAACATTCTGGTGAAGGACCATGATGGGGATCAAGTCAACCAGATCTTCCAGTATTACGGGGATCGGCCCACCTGGGAATCCGAATTCACAACTTTGGAAGTTGAGAATGATGATGAGTCACTGGTTATGAAGCTCTCATCGAAGATGGAGCCTCGCCGTGTAGAGTTCCTCCTTGAGTCCTACGAAAAGGTGCTCCAGGCATTCATGCAGACCCCAACGCAACGTCTCTCAACCCTAGACATCATTGGGGAGGCAGAGACTGAATTCCTGTACAATGAAATTTCAAACAGAAAGAGTCTCCATGTACCCCATCCTTCGCTTCTGCATGCGAGCTTTGAGGATCACGCCCGAGGATTTCCTGACACCCACGCCATCGACTGGGATGGATCGACACAGCTATCATATGCAGAGTTGAACGCCCGTGCCAATCGCGTTGCTCATTACCTGATCGAAAAAAGAGTGTGCGTCGGAGACGCCATCCCCCTGATGCTGGAGAAGTCTATCGACACCATCGTCGCGATACTCGGTGTCATGAAAGCTGGGGCCGCATATGTGCCTCTGAGCCCGGATAATCCGGTGGACCGCAACACATTCATCATCGACGATGTTAAGGCACGAACGATACTGACCGAAGCCGCGTATGCTGAGATGTTCTCTTTTATCCCTCATCTGGACATCGTTCGGATCGATACGCCAGAGATCGATCAGTTCCCTGCGTCCCCTACTACGGTACACACCGTTCCTGACAACACCGCCTATATCATCTACACGTCCGGCAGCACGGGCATGCCAAAGGGTGTACAGGTGCCCCACCGCGCTGCAGCGGCGGCTGTCATCAGCATGGCCGTTGCTGAAAGCAGATATTCTGGCGAGTGGAGAACGGTCCAGTTTGCCAACTACGTATTCGATGCTTCGGTGCAGGATATCTTCAACACTCTCAGCACCGGTGGAACTCTGTGCATGGCGCCTCCCGACAAGATGCAGTCCGACCTGCCAGGAGTCATCAACGCAATGTCAGCCAGACAGGCGATCCTCACTCCAACGGTCGCAAAGCTGCTTGATCCTAGCGAGGTGCCCTCTTTCGAAACATTGATCGTGGGTGGAGAGCCTCTTACGTCAGATGTCATTGCACGCTGGAGTCCGGGCCATCGTATCCTCAACGTCTACGGCCCTACGGAGACTTCCATGGTAATCGCGACGAAAGAGGTTGATCCCAGCGGTCGTCCGAGCAACATCGGCGCACCATTCCCAACAGTGATGGCCTTCATCCTGCACCCTGATGGTACTACGATGGTACCCTATGGCTCTGTTGGTGAGCTTTGTGTGGCTGGACCCCAGGTAACCGACGGGTATGTCAACCGCAAGGATCTTACCAAGGCTGTGTTCATGAAGAATACACTGGGCACCGACCGCATGTACCGAACCGGAGATCTGGCGCGATGGCTCCCTGGTGGCGAACTGGAATGCTTGGGCAGAAAGGATAACCAGGTCAAGATCCATGGCCATCGCATCGAGCTGACGGAAATCGAACAGGCGATCCTGAAGACCGGACAGGTTCAAGGAGCGGCCGTCCTGGCAGTCAACCACAATGGTAAGAAGCAACTCGTTGCATTCTGCATCTTCGCCGCTGGTTCCTGTGAAATCCAGGAAGCCGGTGACCATCAGGCTCATGTTCAAGACCTGCGAGCGGGGCTCAATACCCTGGCCCACTACATGGTTCCCAAATATATTCTCCCCGTTGGAGATTTCCCCAAGATGCCCTCTCGCAAGACCGATCGGAAGCTTCTCGCCAAGTGGGTTGAGCAGTTGGACACACTCACCATCAGCCAGTATTCCTTCGAGGGTGGCAGAAGTCAACATGAAGTTGTTCCCGTGGAGAGTGAGGAAGAGTCCAAATTGCAAGACATGTGGTCTAAGGTTCTTGGACTCCCCTCATCTGGCATTGGAAAGAAGGCCGACTTCCTGTCTTTGGGTGGCGACTCCATTGCAGCCATTAGCCTGGCTAGTGTTGCTCGCAGTGCTGGGTACCTCCTCAGTGTTAAGGACATACTGAAGAATCCGATCTTGGAGAATCTCACGCCAATGATGCGCCTTGACACAAGAGGTGCTCAAGTACTGAAGCCGAGCTACAAAGCCCCAACCAGTGTGTTAGACGCCATTCGCGAGCATGGTTTGACGATCGGTGGTAATGTTGAGTATAGTAAGCAACGACCTGCTGTGTTTTGAGATCTCATATGAAGATGGTTGTGGCTAACTATTCCAAGTTTATCCATCTCCCCCAGGACAAGCCCAGTTCCTCGAAGAGGGTGACCGCTTCGAACAGATGTGGGTGCTCATGGCCGTTCGTAAAATGCCCGAATCCTCCAGTTACCAGGACTGGATCCACTACACCAGTCGTCTGACGGAGATCAACGACATTCTGCGCACCACTTGGCTTCGTACCGGGGAGGCCCAGTGGGTGGGTGTTGTCATGAAGCACGCAGGCTTGGACGTACCCATCATTCCCTGCGACAGCGAGGAGAAGCAGTCGGAGATCATCGAGGAGTTCTGGAGTGAGCGCTTCCAGTTTGGAAAGCCTTTCGTCAAATATGCCATCCTTCTGCACTCCGACAATAGCTGGGAGGTAGCCATCAAAATGAACCATGCTGCATACGATGGAACCTTGCTTCGCACATTTGATGATCACTTTGCCGCTATCCGTCAAAGCACACCAATCCCCAGCCATGGCGAGTTCAAGGACTTTGCCAATTTCATATTCCAGTCAGACAAGGACGAATCGCTGCGCTTCTGGGCCGAGATAATGAAAGACAAGCATTACACCTGGCCCCAGGCAGAGAGCCCGAAGATCACCGCTGCTGTTCGGGAGATTATCCCCCGGAACCTGGAATCTGTGGCTCGCGCACAAGGAGTAACCGTCCCGATTCTCTTTCAAGCCGCCTATCAACTCTGGCTTTGCCGCGCAAGTGGCCAGAACGACGTCAGCTTTGATTATCTTCTTAGCGGTCGCAACGTGGACATGGCGGATGTCGACCCCCAGACCATCAATGGCACCTTGGCCAACTTCCTCCCGGTCCGGGCGCGAATCGATCCTCAGAGCGCCCTCGGCGACTATCTGGAGACCGTGCAGGACATCTTCTGGGGAATTACCGAGCATGGTGATGTCGGCCTGCATGAAATATTCAATGCAAGTGGTCTGTCGCGGACTACCGCAAGCAATCGTTGCCTTTTTCTCTACCAACCATTTGAACCTGCTGCGAACAGTGAGGAATCCGAATCCGATCGGTGGCTGGTCATGGCAAAATCGAAGGTCCGCATGTACCAGCCGTACGCTCTGGTGGTGGAGGTCGCCAAGGCACTTAACAGCCGGAACCGACTCACTGTTATGTATGATACGGATGTCTTCAGCGAGGAGGATGCACACCAGATCGCTTCTGAGATTGCAGCTCTGGTGGATCAGATTGCGGATCTCAGCGGGCAAAACGTCTCCCTGCAGCAGTTCCTCCATTGACTCGGCATTCATGACCCTTCCTTACCTGCTGTTCCAAACAGCAAGCATATACATAGATCTTACTTTCTCTCTTGCTATCCTCCTTTACTTTCTTTCTGCGGTATCGCTGTCGATGTTTCCTCTGTTGCTTTCTTTGTTATATCTCTTTTCTGTCAGTTCTGTCTCTTATGTGATAGTACATATTCCATACGTTGAATAAAAATTGGCTTAGTTGAAACCTCTCTGAGTAAAAGTAATGAAACGTTACAAATCTGGTGAGGAGCCCTGCTATTTTGTATGACTTTAAACCTTTTTAGGCAAAGGTTAACCACCTTTGCTTAGGACCCTTCACGATGACCGAATAAAGCCAACAATACTAGTATGTTTCAATTTCTTCACGTTGACTTTTCTAGGTTACTGAAGTAAATGAACCCACGGGTTTACGGTATGGGGTTTAGGTCTTACATATGAACCTAACCCCGACCCAAAGCGAGGCCTAGGTATACGGAAGTATACTCTTCTCTCTGTCTCTTCTTATTTCCTCTCTAGTTAAATGTCTCCAGACAAATAGACTCTTACTACTTAAGACTTGCCATTTTCTAGAGAGCTCTAATTAGCTGGCTAGGGATCATTTAGCCTGTTCATATCGTTAGCGATATAAGTGCTGCATACTACTAAATGCCCTTGTTTTTGATTTAAATTGAAGATGCTTAGATGTGTATAACTAACTCTGTTTCAGCCCTCACTATATATGGTAAGTGTAAGATATATATTTCTGTAAGTTCACCGTACTATGGCAACATTTTATATAATAACCCAAACAGTTGTAAAACGATAATTTACATTGATTAGTTAGCAGCGTTATGACGGCTGAGACCAGGATTCTATGCAAGAACAGGCTTTCGTGGGGGCCCATTGGGCCCCCATCGTGGGCCAGGGATTGGGCTTTGGGCCCGAGTTCCGGACCTAACGGTGGGCTTCGCAGGAGACTAGGCTTGGCACAAAGTGTCTTTGCTCCTTTAACCAAGGGGAGTAGGGCCAAACAGCGGATCAGTAACGACCACCTCTCCCGTTGCTCCATCTGGAAGGTAGACTTCGGGAATGACAGAGCCAAAAAGAGCACGGAGATCATATCCAGCGAGGGTTGGGTTGTCTTCTGAAGCTTGCCCCAGGTTTTCCGGTATGACAGGATAGCATAAGAAGTCGCTTGGTCCGTCCCATTCGCCAAGGTAATCGGAGCCTGGGTTGCCTTCTCGGTTTCCTAGGGCGAGCTGCCCATTCTAAAGCCGTGATTAGCTATCTCCTTCATGCCACCGTCTATTCTTGCATGTTTGGTCAGATTTCTCATACCAAATTATTCACCATTCCTCGCACAACTGCCCCTACAGGCTCCCCTATGGTTCCCTCAGCCTGGCGGGAGGGCATGGCCGATTGTGCCTGGGCCTTAACCTCGACATCTCGCACATATTGTCGCGCAATGTGGGAAAATTCACCAACAAGGGAAGAGGGCATTACTCCCTTTGATTTATACTCCTGTAAACTGAAGTGCCCAGCTGCGACTTCAAGGAGCGAGAGGTTATCCCTTGTTTCCGCATGTCTCGGATTGTGTACCACGAAGTCAAATAGGATAAAGATCGCCACAAGCGGCATAATAGAGAGGATACTAGTAGAACCAACGTTAGTACATTTTTCGGTTTTTGAAGCGTAGCAAAATAGTAGTAGGGTCAAAGAAAAACCTGGCATCTTAGCATCTTACAAGATTGGTGTATGTGGTGCGGTATCCACAAATTGTATCAACTCGATGACCATCCTTGCTGCCCTCATAAGTGTACGCTTGTTCTCTTCTGTCCTCGGAGAGGATTCATTCGCACTCAGGTACAATGTTAGCCTTGCCAATGCAATCACCAAACTGTAATATCTGAAATGCGTATACATTGCTGGCATTTTCGTGGCGGGGTCTGAAAAGGTGACGAATTGTGGATGTAGACCCGGCCTGAAATTCTCTGGGATTGCCACTCTCCAGCGCTCAAGGCGGCCTTCGATCTGGTCGATGGCAGAGTAATAAGATTCCAGGGAGTTCATAGTGGCGCTTACGGAGAACAGAGAAGCATAGGCTTGAGAGAGAATGCGGCTGAAGCGGATGGTGGATAGAAACCAGTTGAATTCTCCGTACATGGCCTCTGGGGCATCCGGGACGGGACAGCCAATGTCATAGTCTGCGATGATCTATTGAAATATCAATAATCCACTCCAACTGCTCGAAAAATTCTGTTCACCGTAACGACGAAAAGAAAATTATGACAACTTACAGAATTGACTTGACCATGGAAGCACATGTGCTTTTCCATGTAGTAAATGACCCAAAAGGTGCGCCTACAAGTTGCCGTATATGGCTCTTCTTCGTTTCCGATAGACTTGTGATAACGAAGGCCTTGAGCCATACGAGCAGCTTCCGTGATCAGGACCTCATCGATTTGGAGGCAGCATGTGTTCATGGCGAAGATTGACTGATTAAGCTCTGTCAGTTCATCGGGTTATACAAGCCCATCAGGCAGACAAAGCAAGCCTACCATAGCCACGAGAGCCTTTCTCGCTCATTAGCAATTTGTTCGAGTTATCTTTTCAACCAAAAAAGCTTACCTGAAGCCCTATTAAATGCTCCCGGGGTAATAGAATATCCGCAATTAGACCGAGGGCGACCTGGAAGAGCTTCCAGGCTTCCCCCTTTCCTGGCTCCCAAGTGCCACCTTCATGGTATTGACAGCCTAAGGCAAGCACCGTGTGATATAGAGCAGAGAACGCTGGGTTAGCCTTCAGTAGCTCCCTAATATTCGGCCCCAATGCTCTATTTCTGAAGTCTCGTTGGTCGAGGAAGGGGTACACAGAGTGCAAGTTCTGGAAGTAAGCTTCAATGTACGTATTAGTATGAAGGTTCGCAAACGTATAAGGGAAAACGAACCGTCGACATATGAGGCTGCGATGTCTCGTGGGACCTCTTCTATTCTGGGGGGCTTCATGAATGAGACTGGTGTCATAGTTGAGCCTGAGCCTCCCCGAGCTAGTAGACGGGTTTTAATGATGGCTTCCATGGCTTCTACAAGCCGGCGTAGAGTGTCGTTTCCGAGGAGCTCTGACAGGGTGTTGATCTTTTTCTCGGAAAAGAAAGCGAGACTTGAACTGCGGGCTGGATATATAAAAAAAGAAAGAATCAGTCTCTCCTGTATTGATCAGGTCTACTAGTTTGTCCCACCATCTTGTTCCTTTGTCTGGAACTTGCGTCAGCATCATAGTCACTCCTCTATATTAGGGCTTGAATGGACGAACGCGGAGTACGGCAAAATCATCCCGTAGGATCCCGCTCACGGGATGATCAGCTAGTAAGTGGTCTATGAAAAAAAAGGGGACCGGCTGGAGACGATTCGATGGCATATTTGGGGCAATATCGCTCATGTCTTCTGGTTGTGGTGTTTCATTTGGCCACTCTGGAGCTTGATCTGTTCACCCCCGCCAGTAAATCTTCAACCTGATCGTTACAGAATCATATCATCCCCGGGGCCATTCTCACTTACATGTAGTATCAACGTCTCTATGGGCCTTAAGCCTTCGCTTGATTTTCGTGAACTGGCAAATCTCTTCCCGTTTCTAGAGACCACAGTAACGTAAGAGCCGGTTTAACAGCGTGTTAATTTATTACAGTCAGTCTCAATCTTACCGCACAATGTGTGCATTTGGAATCTCCCCCAGGGACCACTGATAAGCCACCAGTTAGAAGATTCAGTGATAGAATGACTTCAATCTAGATATCACGGGAGATCCACATACTGATGCACCGAACCTTTCGGTTCCTGCATTGGTCACAGGACTTGCAAGTTTTGGATCGGGCAGCGGCTCTTTTTTCGATCTCCATGGCTTATTATGTCGGTTCGGAGGCTGAGTTATGGGCTACAACAAAGTCTTTCAGCTGCCGAAGAATCCGACACAGGCTAGGGGTTTCCAGTTGGGTGGGTATTAGTAATCCCGAATGTCCGAAGTCGCTCATTAGGTTTTATCACTGCATTGAACTCTTCAATTTCAAAACAATGTGGGCGGCAAACCTTCAGTGAAAAGAGTTCATTTGTAAGAAGACATTCAACTAGAGAAGAGAAAGAGAGGAAGAGAGGAGGCAGAGCTATTAACGTATGAACACCCAATCGGCCAATCACAATCCCCCTTCCTGACCGCCTCCTCGGTTCTGCCATCTCAACCTCAGCAACCGATGCGTCTCATTCGTGACAAACAAGACTACCCTTTATTCAGTGAAGGTCTTGTCAGAAGCCAGTGCCCCCATCCTCTTAATTGGTCCTCTTCAGGTTAGTTTTGTCGACAACATGCCTGCGAGGCGCAACGAACGAGGAAACACGACTCCTCACCACCGCTCCAAACGCGTCACTCAGGCTTCTCGCCACTAGGTCTGGCTTGGTCCGCTAGACACGCGATCCCTTAACGTCCCAACAAAACGAATCTGCACAATATAACATGGAGGAGACACCCCAATCGACCAGGCAGCCGGTCGTGACATCGAATCCGAATTACTTTCGAGTGGTCCTGCAGTACGCTGAACTTTCCGTCCAGTCCATGCGCAAGTCCTAAACGTACGGGAACGCGTTGCAGACTATCAACAACGAAGCAGGCTCATTCCGCAAAGAATCAAAACATTCACGGGCGTAGCTTGCCGACGGGCAATGGAAGATATATGAAGCCCAACAGTAGATCACTAGCTTGAAGGGTGCTTATTCAGTCGTTGCAGCAAGACCTCGCTAGGACCTCCCTGCAGTGGTCTTGAATTTACGAAATGCCAATGACTGAACTAAGGCACTGGTAGACGACCTTATGTAAACCAGAGAGAAGGCCCGCACAATGCGTAAGGATAGGACCACCACCGCGAACGTGGATATTGTCGGGTTAAAGCCGACCTCTCCGACCACTGTGAAAGCCCTTATGGACTCCGGAGAAAGCGATACCAATCCCACCGAGCTACGCAGTTGCTGAGCGCTGTGCTAGGAGCCAAGCCTCAAGGTAATAACAGGTTCTGGTCAATTGAACGATATGAAGAAAGATAGGGACTATAAACAGCGGGACGTAAGAGAGGGTTTTAATCGCATCATCCAAGAAAAGAATGATATTACGCTGGTATTCTACACAGTTCTATGCCTATAGCTATCGAAAGATAATTTGGCTAAGTGAAAAGAAAGAGCGGATCTATGACTATCTACCTATCTTGATAGATGGACGCAGAATCACTGCTTATCCGCCGCATTGCGCAGCGCGGAGAATCGGCTTTCCCAGACAGGTTTCACGAGCTACAACGACCGCTACGATGCCGCAAATGTCAACAGTACGGCAAACCCACGAAGAAGACTGGTACCCGAACCTCGAAGCTTATGGCTGGGGTAACCATCGCATTGACCGGTGCACACATCCGATTTTACACTTTGCACTCATCACAAGGCATAACCAAACTGGACCATACTATCTTTCCTATAGCGTGAATACACTGGAACCGTTTTCTAATCACCAGCTGGCCGCCTGAAGGTATTTGTTACGCTCACAATACTGAGATAGAGCGGCAAATGCTCTACTTGACCAAACTCAGCTGCACCCAGTATCATCAAGTGATCAGGATGCTTCGCAAACACATGTAGGCTCCGGCTGTATGCTGCCGGCTGCGGTGTGGCGTGGATCTCCCACTGATCAGGCTGGCCGTTGGCTCGGTTGGTAGAAATGCTGCTATTATCAGCGTCACTAACGACGATGGTCCCATTGACGCCCCCGACTGGGGACCAGACAACATAAGGAGACGAGCTAGGCTGTATTCCGTCTACGACGATTTGATAACCATAGGCAAAGCGAAATTCGAATGGGTTACCAGACAATCGATAGTAGACCGGATAGCCTGCCCCAGACCAGCTGTCTCCCCCTGGAAACTCGTGCACCAGAATCCACTTCTCCAACGGTGGAATATAGGAAATAACCGTCATTCCAGGACGGGCGGTATAGTTGAGATATGCCACATCATCTATCACGGAGCTCCATGATTTCAAATCTGTCGATTCCTGGTGAGCAAGCTTCTGGCCATGCAGCGCGTCACGCTGATCAGAGTAGAACACGCCAACTGTGTGGTTGAAAAAGCTTTAATTTTGCCATTTAGCCCCTTGAACAAAAAAGAAATGGGAAGAGCAGCTCACAGAATGAATGGCTCCCAAATACATCGATTCCCATTTGTAGTATCCGGTCCATTGCCCTTCGCCACATTGCTGACGAAAACTTCCATGTGTGACCTTTGTATTCACTAGCGTATATATCGATATTCGTGCTCTGGTTTCTCCAGCTGTTTCCACTGGCCAGAACCGTGCCGGCTGGGAAGTCGCCAACGGCAAACGGCATCTCTGCCATCGCTGGCTGAGCCGCCATCTCCAGTCCATTAGCCTGGTCTGTCATGTTGGGGATCTAGGACCAGGTAGCACCACCATCTGCACTTCGAAAGATCGACAAATATAGTTTTGACCCCCGCGCCCCCCAATACGAGGCTGTCGCAAGGAGACTTCCATCGGATAGTTCGACTTGTCGCGGATAGAGAATACTGTGTTTGAAGTCAAGCTGGAAGATGATATTTTCTGCAAAAGTCGACCACGGCCGTGGTGATGCTTTCTGGGGAGGCTTAACCGATACGACACAATTAAGGCCGGCCATCAGCCTACAATCAATCTGACGAATTCTCGGCTCGGTATTCGGCAGAGTAAGAGCCTTTGCCTTTCTCGGTGCTCGGCGGAAGGAGCAATCTATCAATGCGACCGGATCAATCATTATCATATTATGCTCCCCACTGCTAAACCTTGCCCGGATCGCTGCCTAACACGGAGACTTTAGCTTTATATTAGGGTTGTGATTTGTTCCAGTCAGAATATATTGCATCATGCATTTATTGGCCTCCTGTTTGCGCGTATATCAGCCTCATCCCGATCAGTTCGCTGATCTAACTTCGCATAAGCCTCGCCGGTGTATGCTCGATAGGCCTTTTATTCACTATGGTCTCCTCTTGCGCAATAACTCCTAGTATGCAGCCTTTATGCCTAGAGCAGTCTTGTTGTCGGATGCCATCGAGAGATGAGGATTGAACTAATGGTTCGGAGTTCGGGAATGGCTGACTCCTGTTCGGTCTTCGGTGGCGCTGCAGAAGACCCACCTATCTCTACTCGACGAGATATTAGGCTTTTTTCGTGAGGCATGCTAATCTGTGGCAAAAGCAAAGTAGCCGGTGATTTAAATCTCTACCTAATCTTAGGATAGGCGGAGGTGCGTTGCCCCTCCACAGCCAATGATAAGTACAATACAAATAATGCCTTGAGTTGGCAGTACGTGTTTAAGGACTTTGGCAGTAATCAACAACAACAACAACAACAACAACTACGTGGACTGAGCTCGTCGATAGCGGCATCCACATTGGTTGACACCGAGGTATACCGCCATTCTGGATTTATAATAACACTCGTTCCTTGTCTAATATTGACTCGGTCTCCACGCAGTTAAATCAAACGAAGAGCAATAATAATAGTATGTCTAGTTGCAGTATAATATCACGGAGACCTGGGAACTAAAGGACTATCTGTACTGTCCTGTAACGCCGGAGAAGATCGTGCATGGCGCAACTGAGAATCCGATGACAGCTCCCTTTACTATTCAGAACTTGCTTTGGTTTGTGGTTCCGGAGTTTAGGCATGATCAGTAAATTGAAAGCTATCCACATCAATTCTTCTTCAGGGATATATATTCAACAAGTAACTAGCTCAATCCCCACCCGAAAGACCATTCTATAAAACTGCTAGAAAAAGAAAAGCTAGAATCAAATCTGCACCAGAATAAAGTAGAATAAACACAATGCCCGTCTAGAAAATCTCCGTAACATATCGCTCCTCAGGTAACGTTCCTAGCATATTCTCAAACACGGCCTTGACTCCTTTGGCGAGATCCCCCGAACCGCAGACATAGATTGTCGCGTTCCTAGCCCACAGATCCTGGATTGCCTCGGTTTCCGTAACCAGCCGGTGTTGCACATACCGGCATCCTTTGGCCAGGTAGTGGTCCGGGGCTTTGCTGTACGCCCTCCGAACCTCAACCACGCCCGCAGATTCAAATTCGGCTAATTCCTCGTTGTAAAGATCATCCAGGCTGGGACCTCGACAGCCGAAGAACAACAGCGCCTTTGCGAGTGGTTTGTCCTGTTGCAACCACACCATGCGTTCTTGGATAAAGCTGCGGAAGGGGGCAAGGCCGCTGCCCGCGCAGACCATGATGATCGGTTTGCTGGACTGGTCTGTCGGGAGATGGAATGCGTCTTTGGCTGGTCGCGGAGATACGTAGAGAATGGACCCCAACGTGAGCGAAGCGAGATAGTTTGATCCGACGCCCAAATACCGGCCATTGCTGTTCCATGCTGGCTCGTTGACCACGGAGAAGGTGAGCGAACCGTGCAAGGGCTTGAAGGAGGGGGCCGTGGAAAGGGAATACGTGCGGACGCGCAAAGCGGGGAGCATGGAGATAAATGCGGCGATAGGGAGTGGGACGGTAGGGCATTGTTCGAGGAGGTCCAAGACTGAGACGCGCTTATCTCGAATGAGTGAATCGTAGGAATCGTAGAAACGGAGCAACTCTTGTTTGTCTCTATCTGACGGTGCGGATAAGGCGAGCGCCTTGAGATTCTAGATTTTTTTTCAGTTAGCCATGCGTGTTGAGCTACAGTTAGAAAAGGTTCTCATGGACGTACATTTCGCGTTGCCGGTTGGGACAGCTCTAGATACGAGCTGAACAGCTCGGCCACCGATACAGGGGTGGCGTGGGGCAGACCGAGCGTGTTGAACGATTTGATCGTGATGCTGTGATCCGGTGCGAGATGGAATCGAGCCAGGACTCTCGAGACCGTGCTGGGCGGATTGACCGGGAGGACATTAAGATGATCGCCTGGGCGCAGGGTCGCTCCGCCTGGGATGTGGAATTCTACATGTCGCTTCTCCGGGGTCCCGGTGCTGCTTAGGTTCCGGATAGCGGTCACCTTGGCCTCGACGAGCCCCTTGTGCATTTCCACCCTCGTTGGCTTACAGAGGCTGATTTGGAGCTGGTGCAGGTCGAGTGGTTCGACGTCGCTGCTGCTGGATGGAAGAAACGTCTCCCGGAGAGCGGGCAGCAGACTGGTTTCTTCCCACGCTTCGAGATCCGAGAAGAGATCGCTGACGGCGGCGTTGGCTGCGCCTCGCGTAGCGAGGCGCGTGGCTCCAGCATTGTGCATCAGGTTGTCGATCAAGGTCGGGACGCGATAGAATGTTTTGGTCCAGTCTTGGTGGCCGCAGCCGAAGACTGCATAGAAGACGCCTTTGAGAGACGGGACATTACCGCTTTCAAGCCAGGTGACAAACTTCTTCGCATCTTCTGTGGGCTGCCCATCATAGGTGGTGGTTACGATGATCACTGGCTGGTCTATCGGTAGGTTGTTGACGGCACTGTCGAGCGGGGCGAGCTTCTGGTCGGTAAAGCTGCAGGCCATCATGGTCGATGCTAGCCGGTGGGTGAGAGCTTTGCACGTCCCGCTGTTGGAGCCGTAGAAGAAGGAAACCGGCTGCCTTCCCGCCGCTTCTTGGCCGTTCCCATTCCCGGTGAGATGAGTTGACGATGTCAGGCTCGCAGCAGCGCCCACCGACATACGGCGCTGAGATAGCTCCGTGGCACTCTGACCGCGACGCAACATGGCTCGGACCCGGAAACCATCGGGCTTGATAGTGAGAGTCTCTTTGATGCGCAGTTCGTAGGACGGGTCATCTGCCACCAAGTCAAACGTTTGAAGGACCATGGCAACCACCAGTTGGGCTTCCTGCCAGGCAAAGGCCCTGCCAATGCAGCCACGTTCACCGTTGCCAAAGGGCTTCCATGAATTGGGTGGGAGCTTGGAGAAGTTCTCTTCCAGCATGCGTTCCGGGCGGAACTCGCCCGCGTCGGGCCCAAAGACAGCCTGGTCTCGCAGACAGACAGGCAGCAGCAGGTTGACGGGCTGTCCCGGATTGATCGTCCATTTCCCGCCCAGCACCTCCGGCTTCTTCGGGGTTACGGTAAAGCCCGGTGCGGTGGGCATCAAGCGCAGACTCTCCTTCATGATGGCGTCGATGTAGGGAAGCTTTGCAAGATGCTGCACCGTGATCGGGTCCACACCAGCAATCTCATCGACTTCGTTCCTGGCCGCCTCCAAGACGCGCGGATGTTGCAGCAGATAATAGAATGTGAATGAGAGTAGGCCCGAGGTGGTCTCATGGCCCGCGATGAGAAAGGTGATGATGTTGCTGATGATCAAGTCATCGCTCATGCCTTCGCCGGTAACTGGGTCCCGCCCGTTCAGCAGTGTGTCCAGGAGGTCATCGACCGACTCCAACTTGTCTCTGCGCTCTTTGATAATGCCTCCGGCCATACTCCTCATCGCCTCAATGTTCTTGGACATGTACCTCTGCGCCTTGACACGCATAGAGTTTGCAATCCCGGGAAGCGTGGACTGGAGGTCGGCTTCCTTCAGCACGTACAGCATGGATTTCACGAAGGGGTGCATAGACTCGCTGTTGTAAAAGCTATTCAACCGGAAGCCCATCGTGCAGAGGGCAATGGTGTCTAATGTGAGGCGTGTAAAGTCATCGCTGATATTGATACTGGTCGAACTCCCCTGGCGGGCCCTGAACAAACAACAACCAAACCACGCCAGTCAGTCTTTTGGTTCATTTCACTCGGTCTCTGAAACCGATATTCAAGGATCCATACCACTTGAAACACAACTGTTGTGCGACATCGCTCATATCCTCGAACATGTCCCGAATACGTAGCGGGCCAAAGGCAGGCGTCAGAATCCGATGGGCAATGCCCCAGCCGCGCTCTCCATGGTAGGCCGTGAAGAGGCCATCGTTGGCCAGCATTCGTAACTTTTGGACTCCTGCGATGACATCCTTATGGAAGCGGGTTTCGTCACAGAGCTCATCGACCAGGGCCTGGCTGGTTGCAAAGATCTGCTTCTTGCCGTTAATGGTGATTTGGAAGAGGGGTCCTAGAGTGATTGATTAGTGATGGTGGTTTCCCTTTCGCATCAGAGGGCAGTGAAGTGTACCGAACTCGTCGGCCATTTTGATAATGGACTGCAGGCCATGCTCGAGGTCGATGTCGAACAAATTTCCTACTACCGGCAGGGCTGAATAAACGGTCAGTTAGTAAAGAAAAAAAGAACGAAAAACAGCAACAGTAGTTTCGGATGAGAGTGCTAGTTATGGGCTTACTTACGCTTAGGTCCGGGGATGCACTCCATAGCTTTCAGCGCTCTCGACTGGGTAGTAGTTACGCTTCGAAGAGATAATATCAACGCGGTGAATTAATGGACAAAGTAGAGGTTTGATTGAGGGCTTTGTAATAATATCATCGCTATTTATACACCGTAGCGCTTTTCAGCAACATAGCATAGCCTCATAAGCTGAACTATCTCATCATGCCATGAGTAGTTAACAGACTCCGAAGTGGGGCGTTATTATTGCGTGGCCGAGGGCTCTCTCTGGGCGGGGTTCGGTGTTCGGTGTCCCTAGCATGAAACTACATTCAGACACTCACTCGGCGGCGTCTCACCCAGATTAGTTATCTATAGTTACATAACGAGGCGCAGTTATTCTCCACATCTCTGCCTGGAATCGTAACCCTAATTTCTACCTCGGAGCCGACACCCGTATTCCAAAATGAGTCTTGAACTTTTGACTGCATGGAGAAAGTAGTGTCTTGCCTTGGTCCACTCAATATCTCATAGCCCGAATGAGGTCATTTTGTTCAGAATAGTTGGGAATAGATTGAAGATATAACAACGATTGAACTAATCTACTAAGGAGAGAATGTACAAAAGACTTTGCGATCACATCACTTGGTAACCAATTCATTGCCATCACTAACTCATTAGGTGGCTTCTTCCTCGATCGTATCGACAGCCTCCGAGTCGTTGCATTCCGTCTCTCTTTGCAATTGCTGGGCCAATCGTACCCCCCTCCAGTAATGCCCCTCTCGCCTCAATTCCACCCGAATCCAGAATATCGTCACCACAGCCCAGATCCCTGCCCAAATAGCAGGCACCGACCAGCCAAGCTGCAACAAGTCGCCCCAGAGCCTAAGTCACTCATCATCTATTACATCTTGGAGTCAGACACACATACCGTGTACGCCAGCTCATGGTCCGCAATCACAATCCCCGCTAACGTTCCCCCCGCCACCACCAGTTGAGGAACCGCCCATAGCATCGTCACTCGGTGCAGCAAGCCGCGAAAGGGTGGACTGGCCTTGTACCGCTGGTCCAGGCGGCCTCGGAATCTGGTCCCTCCTTTGCCGTCTACCGCGATGATGTCTTCCAGAAGAGGATAGATGGCGGGACGCATTGGCTCGCCTTTCTGGATAGAGGAGATGCGGAATGGGGCGGGTTTCTCGAAGACGTACAGGGCCTCGAAAACCAGCATCTCGAGGGCGAAGATGAAAAAGATCGAAGGCACGGGCATGGCCAGCATGCGCATCCAGGGTGGGTCGGGAATGGTTCCGATAACGAGTTCGGCGATGATGATGACCCAGGAGACGAGGACGTTCCAGTGGGTGAAATCAAACTGCATGGATCGAGTTAGAGGAAATTGTCGCCGGAGGGGTATGAAGGAGAGCAGAATGTTGAGGAAGGGTTGTCACATAGTAGCGGCCTGCGTTGGGAACGCGACAGCTGGATTTATTCCGCCATAGCTGCCACGATCTCTGCAATGACTCGGTCACAAATGTTCCGAATAAGGTCACAGTCAAGACACTGAAGACTGTGGAAGGTAACCGGCAGTTAGAACTCAACAGAGCAAAGACTAGAGTTAAGCGTACTAGTCGTAGTAGACCACGTCGTTGTTCTGGTCAAGAGGTAGTAGAGCCCAACAGGGAATACAACCGAGTCCAAAAGCACCATCAGCCAAAAGATCAGGATGCGCAGTTTCCGTTTCGCCAGGCTGTAGTTCAACGGCAGAGGCTCCAGGAATTGCTGGGAATCGTACATCGTGTTGCGCAGGTGAATACACAGCAGAGGAAGAGAAAAGCCACAACAACGACAAAAATAGAGAGAGTACCACTATATCTCGACTGTTCTACGGATGGCGAACTTATTATTCCTACAATACTTCAGCTGTAGGAGAAGTAAGCTTCAGGTTAGGTTTCACTCTGAGACATAATGCGGTGGTGGAGAAGCCGTGTCCCTTTTTAGCCTCACCGAACACCGAGAAACGTCAGCCTGCAACTCCCGAAGACCGAAACTCTATTCAATGTGAACCCGACGGAAGAAGATGTCATTCTAGAAGGCCACGTCAATAGGGGCAGCTGGTCCGAGTATTAAATGCTATCTGTGCGCCGAGAAAGGCCAGAAAAAGGAACAACTCGCAACGGTCACTATCTATATTTACAAGGACTTTGGCAGATACACTGAGAACTCTCCAACGACACGCAACCATGGAAGAGAGCACCACTTCAAAAAAGCACCCCAACTTCACCAATACCGAGTTGGCCTGGGTGTCTAGACCCGGCATGGAAGAAAAAGGAAAAGAAGAAGAATACAACGAGGTCGACCGAACAATTCACAGACTGGCAAGCCGCGTCTCACGACACACCGTGTCCTCAGATGTGACCAGGCCCTACAACGCTATTTTCCATCCCCTCCCCGGCTCGAATCTCGACCCACAGTCCTCCAGCTTCGACACTCGGGCTTGGGTGGAAGCGCTCGTTCGATACGAGAGCGAGGATCTCGAGTCAGGACGACGCCGTAAGTCCGGTGTCTCCTTCCGCAATCTCGATGTATGCGGCTTCGGCATGTCCACCGACTATCAGAAGAGCGTGGGAAACAGCATCCTGTCACTGATGACGCAACGGCGTAAACGACGGATCGGTATCCTCCACGGGCTCGAGGGGCTGGTCAACGCCGGCGAGATGCTTTTAGTGCTTGGGCCGCCGGGCTCGGGGTGTTCGACCCTGTTAAAGACAATCGCTGGGCAAACGGAAGGGTTGTTTTTGGGCGACGAGGTCATGATGAACTATCGAGGTGTGTATGGCAGGGTCCTGGACCATTCCCCCTAGAAATCTTGAAATCACTTGCTTACTTCTGTATCTACTTCTAGGCGTCTCCAGCAAAGAGATGCACACTTATTTCCGAGGAGAGGCCATTTTTGCAGGCGAGAACGACGTTCATTTCCCGATGCTGTCGGTGAGGGACACGCTCGCTTTCGCAGCCCGTGCCAGAGCACCGCGAGAGTTGCCGGCCGGGCTGAAGGCTGAGGAATTCTCCATGCTCGTGCGGGATGTCATCATGGCCATGTTCGGCATCTCGCATACGGCGAACACAGTGGTCGGGAATGACTTCGTCAGAGGGATCAGTGGAGGAGAACGGAAACGTGTGAGCATTGCCGAAGCATCGCTGAGCGACGCCGCGTTGCAATGCTGGGACAACAGTACGCGCGGGCTGGACAGCGCCAATGCAGTGGAATTCTGCAGAACGCTTCGCACGGCCACCGAGCTTTTACAATCCACCGTCCTGGTGTCCCTCTATCAAGCGCCCGAGGAGGCATACCATGTACGTCCGCGCGACAACCCCCTCCCCCAACTGTCTACCCTCGCTATTGGTGAAAAACATGCTGGCTCACCATGCGGAAGCTTTTCGACAAGGTCACAGTCCTGTATGAAGGACGGCAGATTTTCTTCGGACAGACATCTGAAGCACGCACATATTTTGAAGAGCTGGGTTTTGAGTGTAAGATTCCACAAAATCATGACCCCACTTTCTGCTTACTTGTTTCTAACATGAATATCTCCAGGCCCTGAGCGACAGACAACGCCGGACTTCCTCACCTCAATGACCAGCCAGAAGGAACGTCTCGTGCGGCCTGGGTATGAAGATACAGCCCCACGCATAGCAACCGAATTCGAGGAAAGATGGAAGAAAAGCCACCAGCACCAGCAGCTGATGCTTCGAATTGAGGCGTACGAAAGTAAATTCAGGCTGGGAAGTGAATGTCTAGACGAGTTCGTGGCCTCACGCACGGCCCAACAGGCAAGCGGCCAAAGAATGAAGTCCCCGTATACGCTGTCATACATGCAACAGACGCGTCTGTGTCTTTGGCGGGGTTGGAAACGCCTGCTTGCAGATCCCTCCTTGACATATATCCAGCTTGGAGGAAATACCATCATGGCCCTGGTCTTGGGCAGCATCTTCTTCAATCTACATAACGACACGAACAGCTTCTATGGCCGAGGAGGGTTGATCTTTTTTCGCTCTACTGCTGAGCGCCTTTGCCAGTGTTCTTGAGGTAACAACAACCGAGTAACTGTTGTCTCGTACAACACTAACCATCATCAGATCTTGACACTCTACGAGCAACGGCTGATTGTAGAGAAACATCATCAGTTTGCTCTCTACCACCCGTCTGCGGAGGCCGTCGCCAGTATGCTAACTGACATGCCATATAAATTGCTCAACACCCTGTGCTTCAACCTCACGTTATATCTCATGGCGAACCTACGGCGAGAAGCCGGGCCCCTGTTCTTTTTCCTTTTTGTTGCTTTCCTCAGCACAATAGTGACATCCAGCCTGTTCCGGACAATTGCATCTGTATCGCGTACCATGTCGCAGGCGATGGTGCCAGCTGCTTTACTGGTCCTAGGCTTGATCATGTACACGGGCTTCACGATGCCAACCATGTACATGCCTGGATGGTCGCGGTGGATGGCCTATATCAACCCGCTCAGTTATGCCTTCGAGTCTCTAATGATCAATGAGTTCCATGATCGCAGATTCTCTTGCTCGGTCGTCGTTCCATCGGGGCCGGACTACAGCGCCGCCGGCATCAATAACCGGGCGTGTGCGGAGGTCGGAAATACACTTGGCTCGACGACAATCCAGGGAGACATATACATCAACGACAAATTCCAATATTACCATTCCAACAAATGGCGGTAAGCGTCTTCCATCATCCTTGTGAACGCCATTTTGCTAGATAGGAAAAAGCCACTGACGTTCCACCAGCAACGTGGGAATCCTCATCGCTTTCTGGATTATCTTCACGGTCGCCTATCTGGCCGCGACCGAGCTGCTCAGCATGGCTAAGAGCAAGGGAGAAGTTCTCATCTTCCGTCAAAGCCATTTTGTCAACAAGAAATCCACACACCGAATGGCCGAGGCCGACGACGAAGAGGCCCTTGGCGCTGAAATGGCCACGATGGCACAGTCCGCCGCGACAGACGAGACGCAAGCTCCCTCTCACGAGGGCCACATCTTCCAATGGCAAGATGTGTGTTACGATATCAAGAATAAGGGAGGGGTCCGGCGGATCTTGGACCACGTCGACGGGTGGGTTCAACCTGGAACTTTGACTTCCTTGATGGTACGTGTATAGATGTCACTGTTCCAGCACTGTGATAAGCCTAACACAAGATAAATCGCAGGGTGTTTCTGGTGCCGGCAAAACAACTCTTCTCAACGTTCTCGCCAACCGCGTCACGACCGGCGTCGTCACCGGCACCATGCTTGTCGACGGCAGGCCCAGCGATAACTCCTTCCAGCGAAAAACAGGCTACGCGCAGCAGCAAGATGTTCATCTCTCAACCTGCAGTGTGCGCGAGTCACTCGAGTTCAGTGCACTTCTCCGCCAGCCGGCGAGCGTCTCGCGAGAGGAGAAACTCGCCTACGTGGACGAAGTGATCAGGCTCCTCGAGATGGAAGAGTACGCAGATGCCATCGTTGGCATCCCTGGTGAAGGTTTGAACATCGAGCAGCGCAGACGTCTCACCATTGGCATCGAGCTGGCCGCGAAGCCCGAGTTGCTCCTGTTTCTGGACGAACCGACCTCCGGACTGGACTCGCAGACCTCGTGGGCGATTTGCCAACTCCTGAAACGACTTGCATGCAATGGCCAGGCAATTCTATGCACAATCCACCAGCCATCTGCCATTCTCTTCCAGGAATTCGACAACTTGCTGCTTCTCACCAAAGGTGGCAAAACCGTATACTTTGGAGGTTTGTCGGCTGCTCTCTCTCTCTTTTCTTCTTCTCCCCCCCCACGTGGGGTAGCAAACATACATATACTGATGATAGATTTCTTTTACCTTTCTAGCAATCGGCGAGAGCTCGGCAACGCTCATCCGATATCTAGAGTGTAATGGAGCAAGCCCGTGTCCTCCTGGCGCTAACCCGGCCGAGTGGATGTTAACCGTGATCGGCGCCGCGCCCGGGTCGCAAACCACAGTCGACTGGCCAAAAGTCTGGCGAGACTCGCATGAATATCAATCTGTCAAGGTGAAACTACACGAAATCCGGACCTCGAGGGCTACCATAGGTGGCAGCCTACAAATGCACCCATCCAGTCGCTCGAACAACGGGTCGTATGCCGCATCATTTCCGGCACAGTGGTGGTTCGTTCAGAAACGTGTTGCGGCGCAATACTGGCGAACGCCGTCGTATATTTATTCAAAAATCACCCTTACAGTGGCCTCTGTGAGTACCCATCTGACGACAACTGACCTGTTTTGGAAGACATGTGAACGTCTTATATCTAACTGACGTTGATTTGCCGCAGGCTCTATTCATCGGTTTCAGCTTTTACAATGCGCGCAATACCATTCAAGGACTACAAAACCAGATGTACGCCGTGATGATGCTATTAAGTATGTTCGGACAGCTCAGCGAGCAGATTATGCCCCAGTTCATCAACCAGCGTGAGGTTTACGAAGCGCGCGAGAGGCCATCTAAGATATATGATTGGAAAGGTACGGAGTCCCTGCAGTAATAATCAATGCTGACAACATACTCACACACACATACACTGGACTAACATAATCAATCTACCAGTCTTGATGCTGAGTAACCTCATGATTGAGATCTTCTGGAACACCTTGATGGCCGTGATGGCCTACTTCTGCTGGTACTATCCCATCGGACTATACCAGAACGCCGTTTCCACGCACGAAGTCATCTCGCGCGGCGGTCTGGTGTTCTTGTTTATCTGGGCGTTTATGATGTTCACCAGTACCTTCACGCACATCCTTATTGCTGGGATTGACAGTGCCGATTCAGCTGGGAGTGTTGGGAACGTCTGCTATATGCTGTGTATCTCTTTTTGCGGGTACGTACCATGTTTATGCCTTCCCCGTTTTCCCCTTGGGGCTTATACGTCTGTTCTGTCTGAACAAAAAATCTAACTCATTATCCTCGCACCGAAAATAGCATCCTCGTCAAAAAGGTTTCCCTGCCTGGATTCTGGATATTCATGTACTATGTCTCCCCTTTCACGTGGCTCGCATCCGGCCTTCTTTCGACCGGTGTAGCCAACACGAAGATCGTGTGTGCATCCAATGAATATGTCAAATTCCTTCCGCCGGCGGGCCAGTCATGCGGCTCGTACATGGCCTCCTATATCTACTCGTCCGGTGGGTACTTGATCGATCCAAACAACACCGAGCACTGTGAATTTTGCCAACTGAGCAATACGAATGAGTATCTCAGCACGGTCAACATCCGATACGAGGATCGCTGGAGAAATTTGGGCATTGTCCTTGTGTATGTTGTGGTTAATGCCGTGGGGGCTTTGGGTGTGTATTGGCTAGTTCGGGTGCCGAAGAGAAAAGGGGATTTGGGGAAGCGGAAGGAAGAATGAAGCAGAGAACGGCGTTTCATAGCTGGTCTTACCGGAATAGGTGATACATTATATTGGAAGGCGGAGCCCTAAAAACTAGTCGTGGTTATAAATATATATAGATATTGAAATGGGGATGGCACGATGGCAGTCTGACATAGCAGACGGGTCGATATCAATGGAGACAGCACAACCAACCACTCCCATGTCCAGTGCAGACGTAGAGAGCAGTCTCTGTAGGTGGCTATCGCACTAATATTGAAGCTATATCATGAAAGAAGAATCTGGTGGAAAAACTGTAGTAATATTGATGATGGTCGGATGATGCTCTCTCTAAGAAAAGACTGCATGCAAGCTTCCTAAGGCATTTGCGATACCTCAGGCCATTAATACGCTAGTGTCACGGGTTCCACCTCTACAATATTAAATTTTAATCACAAGTCTTATCTTTGTAATTTTTTGCAATATATGTAGGATCTCTCCAGTATAGCTCGCTTAATAAAAAGGAGAACCGCGGTGCCGCTAGCACCACCTCCTATCACGACAACATCATCTATAGGAGAAGCCACTAGTGCAAAATCATTTAATGGATTTTTGTTACAGATTTTATTTGTAAGATAGTCATTTCTCTAGCATTCAATTGATTCATTATTGCACCTAATTTTTGCAATATGTGCTTGTGGGATAGCACAAGTCTCGACAAGCCTCGACCGCCGCTGGTTTCGGTGATGGAGGGTTTTTTTTAGGTGTCCTGGTTCACTTATTCCGTGATTCCGTGCTCTTTCCACCACCTGTTAGCCTAGTTCATCTCAAATCCGGATTGATGAAGAGGTTTAGTGATAATACAATCATCTCAAACAGGCTAGATCATTCATGCTTTGCCTAGAATATCCGATTATAAATAGATGCCATAATTCTACGTGGTTATAATCGAAGCGCTAAGTCCGTCAATCTAATGTGCAATAATGACCCAGTGAATACAATGGTAAAAACCCTTAGGATCCTTGGAACATTTGGCGTGTAATTTTGCTGTCAAATAGTTTGTTTACCAGCCTCGTAGGATATAGAGTGAATTTACTAATAAACAAAGAAAAGAAAGAAGTTTTTCATCGATTCTTGGCCATTGCTTCTTTTATTCTGTCAGATATAAGATCCATGAACTAAAGTAACATTACTGGAGTTAAAGCAGGTGTCTCAATTGGGGCTGATTTCGGGCTTGCTGTGACATGGGAAGTGTGATGATCAATTTGTCTGCGTTCCGCGTATAGGGATTTAGCTAATTGAAAAGAGACATAGTTATGACGATCTAATCCCCATTCATTAAGCTCTCGGTGTGTGGGCTGGTTAGATTTCCTAGTAGTAAAGTTACAGGCTCAAAACACGACCAATGGTGCAAGTGGGGGCGGGGGGCTGTGTGGGCAAATTCGAACTGTGCTTATGGAGGGGCTACATGTTCATCATTTCCTATAACGATGAAACAATATTTCCGGTAATTTATGTAATTATTAGATGGATACTCTTTGATAGACGCACTCGTGATTATGAGAATTGTCAAAAGTACACAACCCTAGGCTAATGGACTTACTCCGCTAAATCCCATTTGGGACGTAACAATTCAAATACCCTACCTATGGCACAAGAAATATTGCAGTGACATATCAATAGTTTAAACTCATCCGAAAAACCTAAGGTTGTCAGACTGGACGATGGTCTCAGTTACAAGCTAGATCAAATCTTGAGAATTCTTTTCGAAAGACGTTTAGAGCTTTCATTTTCTAAGAAACGGAGCCAATCACGATTTTCCGCATACACGATCACTTCGGACATGTCAGATTTTACTAAGCTTTTTTATTTACTTCTTGGATTCGGAATGATGAAATTTCCGTCCTTCGCCATTTCGAGCAAGCAAGGTACACACTGGGGCAATTAGCCCTGCGATGATCGTAGTGATGATTGTTTGCCTTGGCAAGCGGGATAAGCACTAGTCTTTAACCGGCACTAGTGATACATTCTGAACAAAATCACCTTCCTTCCCCTACCTTGGGGGCCGGGCAACGTACTTACCCATGACACTATAGCGAATAGAACACTCGCACGGTCAATTGCGAATAGCTTGGTCGTGCTATGATATGTATATGTTGTGATAGGATGTTAGGATAAAATGTCACGATACCCGTTTCAAGGGTCGGCGAGACCTTCAACCAATAAATTACAAGAATTCAAATGTGGGCCGTCCCCGATGCTCGTCTTCAACCAAAGTACGACGCATCTCATAGGGAATCCATGGCTTAGAATGTTAATCGTAGGCTCAAGGATTAAACTCAGTATTGAAAACTATGCCAATCAGAGAGAAGAATTCATCTATTGCCAACACGATCGGAACCTTTCCGTCCTGCTACTTCCCCTTGACTAGGAGACGGCCCTCCGGTTTCCCTGGAGTCTCCTCCGTGGCTGAATGCTCATAATTCCGGGTTAAGCCTTCATATTGGCTTGAAATTACGTTATGCAAATTCCCAACAGAACCAAGCCAAGCGTGGCTGCCTTCGAGAGCCGTCAGATCATTGCCTCATTCTGCCAAGACTTCGAAAGTAGTTGTCAAGTTTCATCCCCCGCCTGCTTGCAGTAAGATCCCCAGACAGTGTTCGTCGCCGGTCTCAGCGGCGTAATGCAGCGGCAGCCAACCGGCCGCGTCAACCATGCTCGTATTGGCACTATACCGAAGCAGCTCACGTACGATGTTGTGATGACCGCCCCGAACGGCTGCATGAAGTGCTGTGGACCCTGTTCCGTCGACTGCATTAGGATCAGCGCCGCGATCAAGGAGAAGTCGAACCGCCGCGAAATGACCTCGTGTAATAGCGATATGTAGGGGCATCGTCCAAGTTGTCGACCCTGCTCCACTATCGGGCATGACGTCGCGATTGCTCCTTCGTCCAACAGGCCGAGTGGGTGTATTTGCGGGCAATGTGATAGGGGCTCTGTGCTGCTGTTCTGCCATTAAAAGCTCTTCGGCGTAAGTATAGCAGCTATCACAGAAATTTGGAGTATGAAAGGCTGGTGAGGCTGGTGAGCTATGAAGTATGCATGAGTGTATTGGCAACCGGTCTCTTACGTTTGCTCGGGGTCGCGGAAGGATTTGGGTCCATGATGCATGCACAGGGGCCAAATTGGAGTCGATCCTCAAGTGGCAAACTAGATGATGCCAAGTAGAGGTCCCTGCATTCGGGGCTTTGCGCTAAAGACGTCTCGTTGGAGAACGAAGTTTCCGTGGACAGGCCGTCGGCTCTGTTCGATGTATGACTCGGTCCGAACAAAGCTGACGAAATCAGATCTTCTTGGCAAGGGCTCACAGGAGGCATACAGCTGCGTTGGCTGGTTGATGTCGCTGGGCGATATTTCTCCAAGTATGGCTTCACACTCGATCTGCTATGGTCTTCTAGTAGTCGTGATCTCTTGGAATCTGTCTTCACATTCTCACCTATTTCTGTTAGTTATGACTCAATGTTGGTGGACTATACAATGTACGATGTTTGCGCTGTGCTATCCTGTTGCGCTCCCTTCGCCTTTCGAGCGCCAAGCTATCTTGGTCCATCATGATGATTCGATTTGCGGGAACTTGTCAAAGAGGTAGCGTATTTGAATGATTCGGTACTAAGGGTTCATAGAATATAGGGAAACCCAAATGCAGAGGAAATTGGCACTTATATAGCTAAGCTAATGTCGAAGTGGCGACTAGCTTCCTGATCTACCGGGAAGGACAGCGAATTCGGGCCGGCAAGATGCAACTTTGCTCACAGTTACATTGTGGATGTATTGGACTCTAGCTACGCCATATTGACCCACTTTCTTGGCTGCATAATGAAGAAATGCATAATATCATGGACTGTTTCATTGATGCCTCGAGACTTGGTGAAAGCTCCGACGGATCTCACGTGTCATATCTCCAGCTGCTGACTTGTTGATTCCAGGCTCGATTCTAGCTTTCACCACATATCGCGCCATGCCCTGGATAAAAACCAGTTTGGTGAACCTGTAGCATAGTAGTATGTTTACGATAAAATAAGCTTCAGTTGGCACTTTGAAATGAGTTATTGCAAATTAAGGGGAAGAAGCCCCCCTCTGAGGGAGCAAGTGCAGAGATGAAGACTGACTAGTTCGTTAGCTTTATGGTCCACCGCGAGAAGTTATTCCGAAGGTATTCCTTGAGCCCTCTTTTTATATCCATTGTCTCTGTAATACGTAGAACTTCAGCATTATTTTGAACTTAAAGTTTTGGATTGGCAGGACCCTCGGTTCTTGTTTCTATTGACCTACACGTCTACATAATAATTGTGCATTACTACAAATTTAGGCTTCCATTGATAATATGATTGAGAGCGGAATTTGAGATGCCGATCTCTACTCTCAAGGAAATAAAGCATTCTAGTGTTGAAACCAGTGGCAGTAGCACAGAAAGACTGGGACCATATTCAGCTCCGTTTACTCTGCAAGAATAGGCCAATAATGCACCACAATATGACTACTTTCTCTTCGGATTCTTGACTCCATGACACAATGTCAGCTTACGCGGTCTACGCCATAAGAAGCCACGCTACGATTCCTGCCGATTAGGGGAGTGGTTGGTTTTATGCTCTTTGTTGGTATCGAATAGTCTGTTATGATAACTGCCATCGTGCCATCCCCATTTCACCATAAGTACTTTTAAAATCACGTTATCTCCTAAAAGTCTTTCATTTTAGGCTGTAAACACATAGAAACATCAAATCCAAAATTTGTGGCGATTCACATTCTCCCTTTCTATTCCGGCATATTCCTGATATCCTCACTTTCTTCATCACTTTGATCAATATATCCCAATCTATCTTTCTTGGCACATCATGACCGCACTCGTATACTTCAAGCATGGACACGGAGCTCGGCAACCTCAACATAGGGAAATGTCTTCACATCAATGTGAGCTTGAGTGATCTTCGCCTCGATAGCTGCTGCGCTAAGAGCAGCGCGGGCAATGGCATCAGTGTCACAAAGGGTGACAGAGTTCACACCTGGTCTAGCACCAGCAGCGGTTACCCAGTGGACCCCTTCAGTTGGAACGCCGACAGCAAACCGCTTTGGGTGCACACGGCCATGGGTATCAATGAGATGGTATGGGCTCCCAGTCACATCAAGACCACCTGTCTCGTATCCGTCAATAGTGTGAGCGCGACATTGACCCGTTTTGAACAAATGGGAAAGAAGCTCATCCCCCGTGTTGCGGAGCGTCGGCTCTGGCAAGCGGGCTTCGATCAATGTTGTAACTCGGATAGGCTCGCATGGCACCTCGGGCGAGTGGACTAGCCAGGCCTCGTCCTGGGCCTTTACCTGGGGATGGGGACCCAGGACTTCCAAAACTCCAGCTTCCATAAGCGCAATCATTTGCTCAATACGTTTGCGGGGAGGCCCAATTGACACATAGGCGTTGAGCGGTGTGTACCAGCGATCGAGGTGCTTCCGATGAGAAGTACCGGTCAATCCATTGTGATCCACGATCAAACGCAGTTCGTTTCGCAGATCGCGCATCACATCCAAAGCTGCCTTTAGTGGACCGTTCAGATTTCCAAGTGCGGCCTCCTTGGCGTCTTCGCGAAGGTAGTCGATCAACCACTCACGCCACTGAGTGGTGGTATTGAAAACTCGGTCGCCCTGTGGACGCTGAATACGGTCCCAGGACCACCGCTTCTCTTCCGAAATACCAAACTCATGAAGAACTTGCGCTTCCTGGGGACTATTTGGCTCAGTTTCTAGGAACCTCTTCTGGAAGTCGGTTTGTTCCGACCCATCACGCTTCAGTAGAGCCAAGTAATAAACGGTTTCCACTTCTTTGGACACAAGAGGCCAGATATCCTGGAGGAAGTCAGGCGCTTGTCCAGCATCAGAATGCTTGCGGAAAGCATTGATGACTTCTTCAGTGAAGACGAGGGGCATGTGGCGGCCATATGCCCCTTTGCCGTTATCACCACGGGAGTGGTATGGAATACCACGACGAGATCCCGCAATCATCCGAGGCTCATTGCCCGATGGGTAATATTTCAAGCCGTTAGGAGTCCCTGAGAAGCTACCACCCCGGGATGTTGTTAACAAGGCCATGTAGTCGAAGAAATTGAGACCAAGACCACGCAGAAAAACCTGCTCTCCAGGAGCAATAACAGAAAGATCAACATCTGCCGGGTTCGAGGGCGGGATATAATGGAGGCCATTCAGCTCTGCGTAAGCATTGAGTTTCAGTTGTTCAAGGTCCGGAAGCAGGGAGACGTGACCCTGTGCAAGAATGACAGCTGCGAGGCTAGAAAGGGTGCGGCCATTCGACAGCTTGAGCGTTTGTTGGCCATAGGAAGTGTCGTCCAAGCGGACAGCAAAAGCAGAATGAACCTCAATTTGCACTTGAGGTGGTGCTTGTCGCACAGTCTCTTGAAATATCCATTCAAGATATTTTCCGTACTGAGCACGGGTTCCGTAATCATCAGGCCCAATGTCAGGGATCTTGTCGGCGGCCCAGTTGTAGAGACTTGGCCCTGGACGGATTGGGCCTGAGCAGACAATGCTATCATCGGTGAACAGGGTCACCTGGGATGTGACGGTGTTCATCAGAAGTTCATCCGACTGCTCTGTACGCCATACACGACCCGCGCCTGGAGGCGATGGATCAACGATATGAACGGTCAGTCGTGCTCCTGAGGCAATGAACTCCGGTGCTGAGGCACAAAGACGCTCCAGAGCGCTAGTTCCTCGAGGTCCAGCACCGACAATGGCAACATGGGTGTGCACCTCAGTAGGCTGAATGGCGGAAGGCATTGTGATTTTGGTTTCAGGGAAATAAATATGACGAAGTATGACTTTTCAACAAAGAGAGCAGAAGTAGGGTTTCCAATCTTAGTGTTTATACTCTTCGTATGCCTGAGTCTTTCAGAAGAGGCTTTTGGAAAGTTGGTACGTATAATGCAGAGGAATCCAAAGCCCCTTTTATATTCTATCAGTACATCAGGCCCTCAATTGAGCTTTTTCATGAGCTGACATCTTTGATCTCGCCATTAAGAGGCCACCCTGACGAACGGTGCCTTCCGTGATTCACACGTGCAGCATTGCGGACCAATAGTCCGCAGTATGAGCAGCAACTAGGCTCTTCTGACGATGAAACACCTCGAAATCCCGCCCGACTTCGGGCAAGTGGACGTCGTGAGTGTTAGAGAATTGAAGATCTCGATGCAGTGATCGGGATCCACACTCTTTCAATCTACCTTTAGGGTAAGAGAGCCACGAAACCCGATGCCGAATCTTGTTTTTCGGCCCGCATTTTTTTGCACTAGGGCAAAAAGTGGATTCTGTCTCGCGAGAAGAATAATATATGAGACGACTAACGATGACCTTGCATGCAGATAGTGACCTTGCATACGAGCTATGACAGTGCGGGCATCAGCAGCGCAGATCAAAGGTAACTATGAGACGCTGAGAAATTTCCGGTGGTCCGAATTGCGTATGCAGCTCAGTATTCTACGGGAGTATGAAGCCGAATTCTTGGACAGAGCGTGGTTGAGGAATATTCTCAGCATCCGAACAACGAGCTACAAGCGAATTGAAGATCCCAACTCCCTCCCCTTGGGACATGTGGCTACTAATTCCGATAGGCTAATTGATTGAGTAAGTTTACCACATTATGGGTTGATGGCAACAGACCTCTATAGTTTGTAATCGCAGAAACTGAGACCACGCAGGCACGATCAAAATTCTGGTTCTTTTTTCACAATGAATACGGCTAGATGGGAGTCTGAGTAGCATTGAGACTTGGGGGATTTGGGATTTTCTTTTTCTATTTGTACTAATGTCACATATTCAAATAGATGATCTGTCCTTCGTATGGAAAGCATTAAATCAAATCCCACCACAGGCATGATACGAAGATTCCAAGCTAACTCGTCATTTCCATCTTAAAACAATGAGAAGCAATTTCTTCGTCCATACCAAATCAGGCCTATGGACGCTTATATTCGCCTTTCTCTATCATCTCATTTATGGTTTTCTCCGTCACCATCATTGCCTCGACACCAGCAGGGGTGCCACAGTAGACTGTTGCCTGCAGAACAGCCTCTCTGATTTCTATCTCTGAAAGACCGTTGTTTATAGCACCACGGGTGTGCAAAGCGAGCTCAAGCCATGCTTTCTGGGCAATGATGATTCCAATATCTGCAGAATATCACCAGTAGATATTAGCAACCTCGGGCTCTCGCTGTCAATCACGAAACCATGCGGAAATTTGACTTACTCAGAAGGCTGCGCTGCTTTCGGTCCAGCCCCGGGCGTTGCCAGACAGTACCCCATGCCCATTCCGTAATGAGCTGCTGTCCGGGCATCGTGAAGGGTGTGGCATTTTGCAACGCGTTGTTGACATACTCATCCCCAAGGACTGCTCTCCGCATTTTGACTCCCTCTTCAAAGAGGTGCTTGTGCAGCTCGTCAAACTTCGAGACGTCGGACATATTTGCAGAGGTTTTGAATTATGAATACAATATGACTTGGGATGCAGGTCGCAATGGCGATTCCGATTCTCGGGAAAGTAAACCGCGGTGGTTTTTCGCTGCTTTTTGGCAACACTTCTCTATTCGTCATTGGGGAGTATTATAAGACAAACAAGCTGAATTTAAGTGAGGGATTTCTTCATCCAGGGTCCCTTGATCAGATTAAGTTCGTGTGTGTGGGCTAACTTTCGGTCATCGGGCCCACTTGAGATCTTCCCGTCAGCGGTATGAAACACCTGTGGAGCCGAATCACCCATTGACAGGAAGCCTGCAAGCCATGAGGCTTCCCGCGTGCTTTTCTCAGATTAGTGGCAATTACAGTTGTCAGAAACATGCAGGAATCAATTTCAGCCTGTGGGGCTTGGCTTTTAATCCGCAATATCCGCTCCATCCGATGAACATGGCCTTCCTCATACAAGAGCGACCCCAAACACTTTCACGTTCGTAAGACGAAGACCATTTTCCTAACTGAGAGCCTGCCCCACCAATATGGGTGGCAACATACTGAGCTCACTGCAGCTAAACCCACTTATGTGTCATAACCACGGTCTAGATCCAAGAACTGCAACTTGTCATGCCCCATGACAACAACGCAATACTACATGCTATAAAGTATAGAGTCGAGATAGTTTACCACTAAACAATGGGTCTCATACTTACATAGCTGTAGTGGAGGTTTCGTTGAACGGGAATGCAATTACCCCCGTAGCTGATCTGGTGCAACAATGCGTCGGGGAAACAATTTGCACCATATTCCAAGTCTCTTGGCATTTATGACCGGGTCTTTCTTTCTTTCTTGTGGGTCGGCTAAAAGCTGCGCCATGTCTGCTTCATGAGAAGCTTCGTGGAAAACCCTTTGTGTCTGCAAAACGTCACCTGGTGCCGTGAATGCTTTCACGAACGATCTGAAGAACTTTGCAACAGAATTGCTCTAATCGCACACTTCAGATTCCATGTAAGCCGGTTGAGATTGCATCATATCTCTCACAGGTCGTCGAAAGAGGCTTATTTAGCCTCTGGGGAAAGACCTTGCGCAAAGGGTCGGCATGAGCTTAAATCCTCTGAAAATGCACCCCAACCGTTCCTCACCAAGTGAGGAGAGATGTCAGAATGGTAATCATGACGCTGGAAACGTTATCTTTCAATTGCTAGTGGTGGACGATCAGCCACCGTCAGCACGACAATACCGAAGATAAACGGCAACGGGAGATAGCTGCTACATCTTATCATTCCCAGCCTTAGGGACAAGGCCAGTCTTACTTAACGTTAAGCCAAGACACGAGATAAGGTAAATTTGCCAATTTGAATTGTTTGAAACGCAAATGCTAAGTGGATTGGGTAGACATTATGACAGGGCTCCCCATTATCCGGGCGAATACATGGGTCTATTCTGTCAAGAGCTCCATAAAATGAGCCGCAGCTCTCTTTCAGACATTCCTAGCTGAATGCGGCTTATTACGCATATCAACTGGACAAGATTTCTAAGAACTGTTAAATCATTATGAACATTATGTTATGACATCTCTTTATCGCTCTAGGGACGTTGTTGTGGTCGATAGGCACTTGGTTTGTTTGGTTCAAAGTGATTTGTATGGTTTCCAGAGTCATCATATTGGTAGTTTATGTTTTCTATCAATGACTTGGCCTATAGACAGTATGTGTCTCATTCCTGAAACTTCTTTTTGTTTTCCTCTACCCAGTGCTGGAACTTGACCGGGTGCTTTCCTGTGTACTTTTGAATATTTCCAACAGCTTCCTCAAATCCAGTCGCACGGAAGGATGCGCCTGCATTCTGCATAACATTATGTATCATCCAACTGGCCACAGGAGGGGGAGTCCCTATTCTCAACAAATTCTGCAGAGCTTGATCTGCCCCAATTTTATGGATCTCGACTTGCGTTCCCAGACTCCCACTAATCACGGCGACAGCGTCCTTCAATGCCATTTTCTCCGCCCCAACCAGCCCCACGATATGCTGTGCAGTACCATGCGCGAGTATAGTCCCACACACTCGTCCGATATCCGATGGGGAAATCCAGTCAAATTGGGCCTCGGGGTTGGGCAACTCGACCAGGCCCTTCCTGATGCCACGCTTGTGTTGAAATATATTGCTTGCGAAATAGGCCGGTCGGATGGCGGTAAAGTTTTCGACCCCAAATATATCCTCCAACGCGATCTCTACCTGTGCGTGATGCCAAGCAATAAAATCGGTAGGCGACACTTCTCGGGGGTTACCTTCCACGGTGAAGCTACTCAACAGAACAACAGACTCGACACCGGCTTCTTTGAGCGCCAGCAGGCTAGGTCGCATGCCATCGTCGGTCCCGAACACAGCGTAAATAAAGACCACTTTGGCCCCAGTCTCATTGACCGCGGCTTTGACTGTCTCAGGCTTAGTGAGATCTGCTTGAATCTTTTCGAGAGAGATGTTGTCCAAGTTCGGGATAGGTTTTGCGATGTTCCGCACGGCTAGGAAGACCTTCGCACTTTCCTGGTGAGCCTGAAGTGCCGCCGCAGAGCCAACATCCCCCGCCGCACCGAAAACGAGGACACGTGGTGCTGTGGCCATTGATTTAGGACCTATAGATATCTGAGCTCCCCTGTTACTGGCTTTGTCTTTGATTGAAGAAATGAGCGCCTGGGATGAATGGGAAGAGAAAGCAATTTGGAGGGGCTGAGTGGCGGTGTATACTTCGGCCCGGCCTTCACATGAACATGCACAAGCCATTTGCTCATATATAAAGTTACTCGCTTTTCCTTTTTGGTTCGTTTAGTGAATGTTTTTACAGATAACAGTCTGGTAACCCTACGAGTATATAGTCACGCTCACCTGCGTGTGCGAAGGTCCCATTGATACTTGCCGAAACGACTACTCTCGCCAATAGATATTACTAGCGGGATATGTCAGATAATATATATCTCACACATGCCAGCCTCTTCGTAATAACTTTCATGATTAGGAAGTGCCTGACATTAGTGCATACTAAACCAGCAAGGGACCTGTTTCACGGTAACCTTTCAGATGCATTTTCCCAACGCTGGTCCAAGGAAATAATCTTGATCATATTCTTGTTCTCCCTGGCTTATAAAGCCGCATGCTCATGGCTGCCCAGATGGCTCACAGGGCTATGAGCCGAACTGAGTCAGTCGATCCTTGGCTACTCAACAAAATTAATACTACGACTGAGAGTATAGTGAGGTTCTACTTACCACCCGGACCCACTCCACTTACATAGATCCCAGAGACTTCGGAATCCTCTTGATTGTCTTGGGCGTAGCAACCAACGAGGGTACTTATTTTGGCTTGTGCCAACCCCTTTTTTGGTAGATGGCAGGCCACAATCTTTTGTGCATTCTTCACGACAGTGTCTAGCATAGGTTTGTGGTGGAACGTAACTCTCAATATATTCACATCGATGGTGTACAGTAGTTTAAAATTGAGATGTATGTCTCTCGGCCTTCATTCGGGGGGCTTGGAGATCTTTGGTTCATAAGGTTCCATTTTTCCATGTACTTCGCCGGCTTTCCGTTTCATTTTAGTGTATCCTTCGATTCCAGCGAGCATCACATAGGACTTGCTCATAGAGACATGTGACATATCGACCCCTTGTTGTTGGAGCGCATGATGGAATGCCCGAAAGTTGGCGGCTGAAGGTCGATAATGACCACTGATAACAACAGCACAAGATCAGTGGATATTCCCTTCTATGATATACTGTCTGTGATTCAACATACCTCAGCGGTGCCAAGCTACGTAGCTGACCGTGTTTGATCTTGATCATTCCAGCTGCGGCGATGCGAGCACCTCTAAGAAATGAGGAGTGTTGGAAGGCGCCCGATTTTTTAATTCCAATGTACAAGCGAAAAGAACTGTCTGCGACCTTATAATACTTTAATAAATGGTCAAAATCTAAATCAACGCACTGGAGACTTACAAAGATCCACATATTTTCCTTTTCGGTGGACTTGCCCATCATTCGTTTGAATGCAGTGGTCGGGCTAGCATGAAGGACTTTCTTCATCACCTTTGCAGCCTTGTACTCCTCTTCCGTGAAAGGTTTCGTCTCCTCGTCGGACAAAACACTGCCCATGCTTGTTGTAGAAGATAACGTAGAAGATGATGATGATGATGACGAAGAGCTGGAAATAGACGCAGAATCCGCGGTGGTTTCATTTCCAATGAATTGCGGTGCATCATCCTCTATGCCTACAATCCCATCGAGGCTGTCTTTAAAGCGTGTACTGTTTGTCCACACTAGCTCGTTACTTTTGTCCCATCGAAACAACCCAGCTTCGTCCACTGTGACCAAATAATTCATGCGTTGCTCGCGGGTGAGATAGCGAACTTGCTGTTTCTCGAGCCGTTCTCGTGGGCATTGCTCAAGTTCCAAATTCCGTCCTTCGCCATAGTCGAGCCAATAAAAGAAATTTTGGTTGGTCGGTGAGTTCTGCCAATAGTTGTGGTATGAGCGCAGATTGCTCCCATGTCGATGTTTCAGATCCACAATTTCCAAGAAGTATTTGAGATCCATCACCTTGGCGGTTGCCCCCGATGAGACCACGTCACTGTGGGTTGACTTGGTCCCGGTGGAAGGAGATCCCGAAACACGGTCATCGTCACCGCCGGCTCGTCTAGCAACGCTGACCGCTCGTTGCCAGTTCCGTCGGGCTTGGTTGAAACCATCATCCGCCGGTGCGACTTGGAGATTTGCGGGTCGATGAAGTTGGTGCCACTGGGCTTCGCGGAAGGCCTAGGGGCAAAACACAGTCAGAGTTGTAGGGGCATAAGTAATTCAAAACCGTACCTCCGCCCATCGTGCCGAAGCCGATAACCCAAATCCACGAAGCTCTCTTCGTGTGCGGTAGCCACGATACACCCTCTAACAGAAGAGATATGTTTCAGCTGGAGTTGTTGCCCACGGGTCCATCAACTGTACCTGAACCGTTCGCGCCGCCCGCTCAATGACGTCACGTCCCTCGGGCGAGGGAGTGCGGGCCATGGAGGAAATACCTACTTGAAAAAGGATAGTACAATATATTCAGGTTCGGTTTTAGTAAAGAAAAGCCGATGAGAGGGAAGTTCGGAGTGTCAACTCCAGGTGGGCGGAGGTGCAATTCAAGATCTTTGTCATCCCGGTTTTTAGCCTCTCAAGGTGGGAGTCCATCTTATCACTTGTCATCTTTCATGGCAGAAAACCAACCTACAACATCTTCTGGTCTTCTGCTATTTTCATCGGCACTCCTTCTCTTCAGATTTTGATCTGGGCCTACTTCTCCACATTATAAAGAAATCTATTAAGGATTGGAGATACCCCTCAGAGCTCTCTTCTCTTTTCTGCACGCCGGTATAGATCCCGGGAAGTTATTTCTCCTTTGAGATCTCTCCGCAAATCACGTCAGGTTTAGCGTCGGAAGGCTTCCCTATCTGTCCCCACTATATGTACTTGACTCCGATCATCCGGCCAAGCCCCCTGGCGCACCCCTCATGAGGAGATGAGGGGACTCCGGGTGCTCACTCCGGGTGCTCTACATATAAATATATCGAATTTGTCTGGAGGACCTTGGTAGAATCCATCGTCTCTATTGCGGAATACTATCACAATGGCACCCTCCCTTCACCCTCTTATCGACAACGGTATCACACCCGGCTCCAGTAGCTTCTCCGGTGGGAAGCTCCACTGCCGCTGCTCTTCGGACCAGGTGGAAGTCACATTGAAGAGCAATGTAGCCCACAACCATGCCTGTGGCTGCTCCAAGTGCTGGAAACCTGAGGGCGCCCTCTTTTCCATTGTTGGCGTGATTCCACGAGACGCCCTCTCCGTAACGGCGAACGCATCCAAGCTATCCATTGTGGACAAGGACGCCACAATTCAACGCAACGCCTGCAAGGACTGTGGTGTCCACCTCTTTGGTCGCATTGAGAAAGACCACCCTTTCAAAGGACTCGACTTTGTTCATGTCGAATTATCCGACGAAAAGGGGTGGCAGGAACCACAATTCGCAGGCTTCGTGTCCTCAATCATTGAGCAAGGCTCTCACCCCAACCAAATGGACGAAGTGAGAGACAAGTTCAGGGCTGTTGGCTTACAGACATACGATGTTCTGTCCCCAGCGCTGATGGATTTGATTTCGACTTTCACGGCACAAAAGTCGGGCATCAGATTTGCCAACCTGTGATATAAAATCGTTGTTGCAACTTTATGTCTGATAACATGACTTTATGATGGCTGGTAAAGAGTTCTAGTTGGTCAAGGGAGTTTTGTGGTGGCGGATAAGAAAGAATGTCGTGTTTTTGGACGTTAGGACCTTTGTGTGGAATCGGATGTCAAATATATCTCAGCGAGAGTCGGCATTGATGTGCCAATTGCATCTTACAGGCAATATTCGTTCAGTTTACGCTAGTATAGTCTAACCTAGATCTGTTTGACATTCACTGAATGACTTAGTCGAATAGCTTGAGCTTATGACTCCTGTTTGGGCATAAACATATGGATTTCATTGTATATGTACCAGACTTCGTCATGCCTTAGACGATTGCTTCATCCCTTGATTGGAGACACATGACTCAAAGGGTCGTGTTCCTTCTGCCGGCGTTGATAGATTCTCGTTAGTTCCACTCCGAGATTCTGATCACATGCGGGATTTGAGCTTTCCTGTCGTATCGAGGAGCGGGTAATCATGGCGTTTTGTTGTGCTACGAACACGCTCGCCATCTTCGGGTGTGATGTATCGAGCTTCCACTGCTGGGTTGTACCCCAAGCCTGAAACCTTGCTAATTATCTCATCTGAAATAGCCTCGGTTGCCTTTCCGTCGGCCCGTTTATAGATTGTTACAACCACAGCTCCTCCCAGTCCAAGATTATGCTGCAACGCGACATCTGTGCCAGAGACTAGACGGTTGTTTGCCCACCCACGGAGCTGCCAGGTAAGCTCTGCACACTGAGCAAGACCCGTGGCCCCTAGTGGATGGCCTTTGGATATCAAGCCCCCAGATGGATTGATCACTGGACCACGGCCGCCGTAGGTGATATCTCCGCACCGAACCATCTCATGGGCTTTTCCTGGTTCCGAAAATCCGAGCGCATCAAGCAAAAGAAGTTCATTGGTGGAGAAGCAGTCATGAAGCTCGCAGACCTTGACATCTTTCGCTTCCACTCCAGCTTCCTGCATCGCCAGCTGTGCGGCTTGCCGCGACATGTTGAATCCAACAAGATCAATTGCGCTTCGGGAGTATACTTCGGGTCCATCCGTCATCAACTGTTGACCAGCCATCAGTATTGCCTGTGATTTGAGGTGAGGTCGCGCATCCAAAAATCGTTGAGATACAATGACTGCTGCTGCTGCTCCGTCGCTTGTTGGAGAGCATTGGAGCTTAGTCAAAGGGCCATAAATCTGGGTCTTGGGGTCCAAGATCTGGTCAAGCGAGTATGCAGTCCGGAACTGGGCATACGGATTCCGTTGGGAATGCTCATGCGAAATTCGAGCGATTTCAGCAAAGTCCTCCGCTTTGGCGCCATATCTATACCCATCGTGAGTACCACATCTGTGATTTGACTCTTCTGGTGTCATACTTGTCCATATATTCCTGTCCCGCATTGCCAAAGTATTGTGCATTCCTAGGACTCGAATGCTTCCCGTAAGTATCCTCCATCATTGTTGTGGATGGCCCCAATGGACTTGGTCGGTCATCCCATACACTCTTGATTGAACCCGGCCGCATCTGTTCGAATCCGACCACGAGCACGCAGTCAACCACTCCCCCTTTCACCAAAGTACGCGCAAGGTGCAAGCCAGTAGAACCCGTCGCGCACGCATTGTTAGTATTATAAATGGGGATGCCTGTCATTCCGAGCTGGTACATAATCCGCTGGCCTGAAGTCGTGTCCCCATAGCAGTAACAGGCAACGCCTGTCTGGACATCATCGTATGTAATATGGGCATCGGTCAGTGCCTTGACTGCAGCTTCATAGCCAAGTTCAGGATCTGAAGAGAGAGGATAAAAGAGCCGCAGTCAGTTCCGGTTATACAATGAGCGGCCAAAGAAGTTCTCACATTCACGGGTGCGACGAGGCTTCAGGAACTGGGTCATGCCCACTCCGAGAACATAAGATTGTGATGCCATCGTAATAGCGTACTCTATTGTACTTGTGAAATCAGGAATAGTCGTATATATGTTGGGTGATTAGCCGAGCTTCCGAGGTACGTTGGCCTCCCCCTCACCTAGCATAAACCGACAGTTAATAAGTGGTCAGCTGTATAAATGCCAATTTATTCATAACCGACGACCGAATAGCTTGACAACGTGTAAAAGTTATAGCTTTCCCCACACCCCCGCAATCTCCCCTGGCGCTATACTCCGTACATGTACATGAATACGTCTTCACTCACAGTTACACCATGTCCGATAGTCTTCATTCCCAACCTCCAGCGACCAAAACTTTTCGGCTATCCTTCCCAGCACCCAAGGTCCTTCTTGTGACGATCGATCGGGAGAAGCAACGGAATTCTCTACCCGCCGAGGCGCATTGGGAAGCCCATGGCTTATTCTCGTGGTTCGACGATGAACCCACTTTACTTGTCGCAATAGTTACAGGCGCGGGCGACAAAGCATTTTGTGCTGGACAAGACTTGGCTGAGCAGAGTACTTCTCGCCGCGGCCCCAAAACGGCAGCCCAACTGGCAGTAATGAACCATCCTCCGACCGGTTTCATGGGCCTTAGCCAGCGGAGGGGGAAGAAGCCTGTGATTGCCGCAGTAAATGGGTTTGCACTAGGAGGAGGGTTTGAGATATGTCTCAATTGGTACGTTCAACTACGTGTTCTTTGAGCCTGGGACTTACATATTCAGTGACATGGTGGTCGCATCACCTCAGGCTCAGTTTGGGCTGCCTGAGGTCTCAGTTGGATTATACGCGGCTGCCGGAGGGCTGCCTCGGTTGATGCGCATTGTTGGCCTCCAGCTTGCCTCCGAAATTGCTATGACCGGTCGCAGGTTGACCGCTCAAGAAGCCCTGGAATATCAACTGGTTAATCGGGTCACCCAGGCGTCACAGTCCGTCGTTGACGAGTCCCTCAAACTTGCGGCCCAAATCGCGAGTTTTTCGCCGGATGGAATCATTGTTACGCGTCAAGGCTTGCGTGAGGCGTGGGAAAATCCGAGCGTTGAGCATGCAACTTCCCGAACTAGACATGAATATGTGAATCGATTAGTTGCAGGGGATAACTTTAAGATTGGCGTTGAGGCTTTCGCTACGAAGACAAAGCCCAAATGGGTTCCTTCGCATCTATGACGGCTAGTAGATTTGGAGACACTGCTTTATGTACTAGTTTGCTATCCTCAATCAAATAAATTAGACCAGAGACGCAAAGTAATAAGAATGATCCAATACCAGTGTAGTTCAGCGTAATGCCGCCTTTGTGTAAAAAAGTGACATTGCACTGATTGACCTCCGCATATGAATACAGTTGCTCGGGCCGAGGTCTCACTTCGCACGTTTTACCCCATAATAACAGGCTGGATCCTCTCTAAATATTCCATCTCTGCATCTTTACATGGTGATTAAACTGCAATATGCCTCCCATTATTGTCGGTGTGGCCGATATCCGAAATCGTTCAGTTACAGTCGAAGATGCTAAAGAGCCCGCTACTTTGATGCTAGAGGCCATCCAAAGGGCCATCAACGATGTCAGCAGCTCTGCTGAAACTGCGCAGATCCTTCAAAATAACATTGACAGTATCAGTGTGGTTCGTACATGGACTTGGCCTTATCGTGACTTGCCAGGCCTGTTGTCACAACACCTGGGTATTATACCGCAACACCAGTCGTACAGTGAGCATGGAGGCAACCAGCCAGCGAAGCTACTTGACGAAGCAGCCATGCGGATTGCGAAGGGAGAAACAAAGGTTGCGGTCCTTACGGGCGGCGAAGCGTTGGCCTCTTGTGCGTGCAGACACCTCTTCAACTTGAAATTTCACTTATCAAACTATAGTGGCCGCATGTGTTAAGAATGGCAAGATGCCGCCTCCATGCTGGTCAGTCCCGGCAGAAAATGTGACTGATGTATTCTCTCCTACCACAAGAGACCTCAGAAAAGGTGTGTTCCCATATCTCCTACGTGATCTTTCGGTGAGCTAACGATTTCCAGATATTGGAGGACTTCACGCCGTGGGGTCACCAATCCACGTCTATCCGCTCTACGAAAATGGGTTCCGAGCTCATCGCAAACAGACAATTCAAGCCAACCATCGGGAGTCGGCAGCTTTGTACGCCTACTTCAGTCAAATCGCATCGCAAAATCCGTATGCCTGGAATTATGGCATGGAAGCCCAGACCACCGATTCTATTGGAACTCTGTCCAAAAAGAACCGCATGATTTGCTTTCCATGTATGCCTGTCCATATTGTTTCTTGTATGCCAATGAGACTAACCACATTGGTGACAGATCCGCTCTTGATGAATGCCTTCAATACTGTCAACTTGGCATCAGCTTGCATTTTGACCTCCACTGAATATGCCACCCAGCTTGGGATCCCCAAAGACAGGTGGATATATCCTCTTGGTGGCGCTGGGTTTAACGAACGTGAAAATTGTGAGTCTGCACAGTTTTACCTGATAGGAAAGATTCCTGACGCCGTGAGCCTCTAGTTTGGGACCGTCCAAACTTCTTCGAGAGTTCCGCAATCTCGAAATCGCTCGATCATTGTCTTGAATTGAGCCACCTAACTCCTGACGATATAGATCTTTACGATTTTTATTCGTATGTAATTCAATTCCAGTGTCTCCCAGTTAGGGATCATCTAACAAATCCTAGATGCTTTCCTATTGTGCCCAAACTCGCATGCCATCACCTAGGTCTTTCTATCACAGAGCCTCAAAAGCCGCTTACTTTATTAGGGGGCCTGACATCTTTTGGAGGCGCTGGGAATAACTACTCTATGCATGTATGCACTTTTCTGATTCCTTTGCCTTTCGGAACGGTCATCACTAATGCATAGTACAAGGCGATTACCGAAATGACCCGTCAGTTACGTGGCAGCCGCAGCCGCAACGGGCTTATTCTTGCAAACGGTGGTGTTTTATCGTATCAGCACGCAGTCTGTCTTTCTTCCCAGGCTCCCAAGGAAGGAAGACCTTATCCAGATAGCATATCTTCGAGTCTGGTGGATTCAGATCTTGTGCCCTCAGTCGACTTTGAGGCAGAAGGGGAAGCAATAATTGAGGTCAGTGAGCCCAATATTATCACGGTTCAAGAATTCCCGCCTGTGCAATAGCCTGACTTTAATCAGACATACACAATTGAATTCAACCGGGATGGTAGCCCATTGAGGGCTTACATCGTAGGTCGAATTGCTGGCACTAACCACCGATTTTTGGCGAATGAGAGCGACCAGGCTACTCTGTTACGTCTATCTTCAATGAATGAAGAGCCAATTGGGAAGACTGGCTTTGTTATCCCGGATCCTGAAGGGGAAAGGGGCCAGAGGAGAAATTTGTTCTCGTTCGACAGCAGCTCCAAACTTTAGGATCTTTAGGGCATTATGCCGTGCAATGGGAGTTTAGTTCTAACTTTTTAGCAAGTATTGAGTTACTTGGACGATTCATCAGTCATAGGATGACAAAACCTTTCTAGATAATTGCAACGTACTCTTGTATTTTGCTGATCGTTAAATATGGCAACTGAAGGATTCTTGGAATTTGCGGCCGATGGCATCCCCACACGCATCTCGATACCTAGGAATTCCACCGTAGTAATAAAGCAGCTCCACTGGTTTTCCAGGAATATTGGCACCAGTATACCACGACTTCGCTTTAGAAAACAAGGTCATCTTAGAGATTGTTTCCATTTGGGCTTGCCAGTCCTGCACTGCGGCCGAGTGAGGTTCCACTGCTTGAATACCGTCCGATTGCATCTTCTTTATCATGTCCCTGATGAAGTTTGCTTGGAATTCTATGAAAACAGGCCCATTTGTGAAAGGAGTCGGTGCCTGAACGGAATATGGCAAAAACATATTAGGAAACCCGGGGACCATAAGTCCTAGGAAAGTTGAGACGCCCTTGCGCCAGTGTTTGCCGAGGTCCACCCCGTCGATGTCGCAAATGCCCATGCTACCCAGGCTACCGGTGCTCGCATCGAACCCAGTGGCGATTGCAATGACATCAACTTCATGGATATTTCCATCAGCTGTTACAATACCGCAAGATGTCACCTCAACAATCGGATGAGCATTGGTATCGATCACATGGACATTGGGGCTGTTGAATTGTTCAAAGTAATCCTGCTCGAGGGAAGGTCTCTTGGCGCCAAAAGGATGCGGTGGATTGAGGGGAGCTAGTAGATCCCTTTTCATGGGGTCATTGATGCGTTCACGCGTCCTCTTAGCCCAGACGTCGTAAGCCACTCGATTTCCTTCCGGATTCAAGAGCAGATCCATATATGCTCCAGCCCAAAGTCGAAAGCCACCTTCGTCGTAAAGCTGATTCAAGGCCTTGTCACATTCCTCGGGTGAGTAATCAGCGAACAATTTAGAACTTCCTTCATATGGTAGGCCTCCTGCAGTCTCCCAGCAGCGGGAAAAGAGCTCCGCCGTCTCAGCCCGCATCTTGTCTTGGGTGATTGGATCGAGCTTTTTTTGATGCATGGGCAGACAAAGATTTGGGGTTCTTTGGAAGACAAATGTTTCCGAGGCCTCCTTAGCCCATTCCTGGACAATCTGCACGCCTGTTGAGCCGGTGCCAATGATCGCGACACGCTTCCCTCGTACATCCACTTCCTCGGGCCATTGGCATGAGTGGTGGATTGTCCCCCGGAAAGAATCGATACCCTTCCAGGATGGTACATATTGTTGCGAAGCGAAACCGACCGCAGGAATGAAATATTTGGCCAGCACTGTCTGTCCATTGTCTGTTTTGATGGTCCACTTCGAGGCGTCAAATTGTGCTGAAACGACGCGTGAGTTGAATATGCAGTCCTTGCTAACGGATAGCGTACGATCGACGTGCTGGAAATATGCCTGCAGTTCCTGCTGTGCTGGATACACTTCCGACCAGTTCCAAGTCTTCCACACCTCCTCGATATTGAAACTGTAGACAGGAGCTGGGCAATCTACTCGAGCGCCGGGATATTTATTCCAATGCCATGTTCCGCCCACGTCGGAGCCAGCGTCGATGATTTTCACATTGAGATTCAATTGATCTCTCAGTCGGTGGAGGAGGTAGATCCCTGAGAATCCAGCACCGACAATCACAGCATCCAATTCCATTTCCATCGTCAAGTTTCCGGGGGGTTGTAAAGAGGACAATTGGAGATAGATCAGTGACTTGTCCCCGCATTGCCGATCAACGAAAGCCGAGGTCGAGTAGAGGCCGAGATTGCAGGAAACGAGGTATACACGTCGAGTATTGGGAAATATTACCTGAAATGTGAGTTGCCGCCAGACATCTCGGCGCGTTTCGGACTTTTTTGCATCCTGGAGCTGTCTGACACCTCACCTCGAGTTGAGGGAGTAATACGTTGGACTTGACCCTGTTTACTCAAGCAATGGCAACCGTTTTGAGACGTGTAAGGAGGGTTTTAAAGGCGAAGAAGTCTCAGCTAACATCCACAGATTGGAGCTCGTCCATTCCTGCGAGCATCGCGGTCTCTTCCGTCATTCCAGTCGTGTTTCCACGCGCGCGCGACCGAGTATCTTCAGAATCATGACCCTGACCTATCGGAGTCTCAGCGAACGGTACGAGAGGCAATCGCTAGGATCTGCTCGGATTTCCCTGACGAGTACTGGGCGCGTTTGGATGAGTTGCATCAATTCCCGACCGAGCTCTATGAGGCATTGGCACGACAGGGCTGGCTGGGCATTTGCTTGCCGCAGCGATATGGAGGCTCTGAGCTCGGCATCTCCGAAGCAGCGGTGATGATGCAAACTATTGCAGAGTCCGGGGGAGGCATGACGGGTGCCTCATCCATACACATGAATATCTTCGGCCTCGAGCCCGTCGCCAAGTTTGGCACCGGCGAGCAGAAAGAACGCTGGCTTGTTCCACTCATCGCGGGTCGTCAACGGGCGTGTTTCGGCGTCACAGAGCCCAACACCGGCTTGGATACGCTGCAATTACAGGCCACTGCACGTCGATCGGGGGACGATTATCTCCTTTCGGGACAGAAAGTCTGGATATCTACTGCTCAAAAGGCGGACAAGATCCTCATTCTCGTGCGTACAGCCCCACGCGACCGAGAGAAGCCATCCCAGGGACTCTCGCTCTTCTACACAGATCTACAAGTGCCCGAAGTCCAGATCACCGAGATCCCCAAGATGGGTCGGGCTGCTGTTGACACTAATTCGCTGTTCTTTGACAACTGGCGTGTCCCAATGAGGGATCGTGTCGGCCAGGAACATGAAGGGTTTCGAATGATTCTGCATGGGATGAATGCCGAAAGAATCCTCATCGGCGCAGAGGCTCTCGGTCTAGGGTTCGCCGCGTTGCGTCGAGCATCCTTATATGCCAAAGACCGACATGTATTCGGGCGCCCTATTGGTCAGAATCAGGGCATTCAGCACCCCCTCGCAGACAGCTGGATGAAACTGGAGGCTGCCCGAATGATGATCTACCAGGCTGCTCAACTATATGACCAGGGATACACCGGCGGTGAGTATGCCAACGCTGGAAAGTATCTCGCTGCAGAGGCGGCGTTTGAGGCTTGCGAACGAGCCATTTTAGCCCATGGAGGGATGGGTTATGCGAAAGAATATCACGTTGAACGATATCTTAGAGAAGTCTTTATTCCTCGCATTGCCCCAGTGAGTCGGGAAATGATCTTGAACTACATCGGAGAGCGCATGCTTGGTCTTCCCAAGTCATACTAAACATGTTGTATTTATCTAATTCATGATATGTTGAGCAACATGTAGACCTAAATTCTTCAGCAAATTTCCGTCTGTGCATGATCCTTAGCTTCCATGAAACCCCTTATCCGTTCCGTTCGGTGAATTTCGGTCTTTCACACCCGGCATACAAGTCTATATTACCGCGGTATTCCATGGGCGGGGAGAGTAGTCGATCGTCCCTTGTGCGGGGTCATCTATCACTTTAAAAATCACTATTTCACAGTTACGCTGCTTGTACTTCCACCCCTCAAATAGTCCGGCTTGTGTACTTGGACATATTGATGATCAGAATGCCAAAAAAGCACTCAATTAAGGCTGCTACGCAGGCCGTGAGATATCATAATAGCCGATCTTCTCCATGGTGTCGACGTCAGCTTCGTTGGAATCACACTGCCGTGCATTCAAGCGGACCGTTGTCAGGAGTCCGGATTTTGGATCTAACGCGTGTTCTTGCTGTACGGCTGGCAATACAAAAAGAAAGAGAAGAGAAGAGAAAAACAACTGACATAGGCCAGGGACCATTCTGTACACAAATACTCGCTGATTATGGTGCCAAAGTTCTCAAGGTGGAAAATCCAAAAGGGGGTGTATGGAAAGAAGTACTCTTCAACCACAGTCTTAATAGATATTGACTAGCTATAGGATGATACTCGATTATGGCGAACCGTAGCAGAGAAAGACATCTGGAATGCTACCGACAAAGATATTTCTGCGTACTTTTGTACGATCAACCGAAACAAGCAGTCCATTACCTTAAATCTGAAGGAGGAGAAAGGGAGAGAGATCCTGTTTCGCCTTGTCGAAAATTCCGATGTGGTGTCAGTACTCATTTTTATACCCAGCAATTATCTGCTAATTATAACAGTGTAGACAATTTTATCCCAGGAAAAATGGATAGCATGGGCATCGGATACGAAAGGCTACGTCAAATTAATCCCTCGATCATACACGCAAGTGTCTCTGGTTCGTGCTTAGGGCGTTCTTTCAAAGTCGGAAAACCCGAAACTGACTTTCCTATAGGGTACGGGCGCAGGGGGCCATATGCCCATCGTGCAGGCTACGATGCTATTGCTGCAGCTGAAGCAGGCATGCTTGATATAACGGGCGAACGCGATGGTCCACCAACACGACCTGGTCTTGGCCTTACTGACATGAGCACTGGTCTATATCTGCACGGTGCAATTATCGCTGCGCTCTATTCTCGCAAAGACACAGGACAAGGACAGAAGATTGATGCGTCTTTATTTGAGAGCCAAGTGTCCTTACTTTCCAATGTCGCAATGTCATGGCTCAATGTGGGCGAACGAGCGGCCCGTTGGGGCACAGAGCATCCAAGTATTGTCCCATACCAAGCATTTGAGACGAAAAACGGCTACTTGGTACTGGGTGCTACAAATAACCGACAATTTCGAGTTCTTTGCCAGTTGGTGGGAGAATCGAAGCTGACGACTGACCCACGCTTTGTGGACAATAGCTCACGGGTTCAAAACAGACTGGAATTAAAGAAGATATTTGAGGGGATCCTCCGCAAAAAGACAACTCAAGGGTGGCTGGATGTCTTAGAGGGAAGTGGGATGCCCTATGGCCCTATCAACACTATCGAACAGGTCTTCTCGCACCCACAGACTGCCGCCGGGGATATGGTGCAAAGCCTTCCTCATGAGGCCGCGATTTCGGGTAAAATTAAAGTCTTAGGTTTGTTTTACTTTTTGGCGCACTCAACAGCATACATTCGCTGACCAGCCATTCAGGGGTTCCTGTGAAGTTCAGTGAGACAAAGCCCACGATCCGACATTCTCCGCCAAGTCTAGGAGAACACACGGATTCCACTTTGATAGGCATGGGTTTCTCACCGAAGGAGATAGCTGATCTACGGGAGCAGGGGATTGTGTAATAATACTTTGCCTTGGAATGCTGTGGCCTCCTCTCCCAGACTACCTAGGAGTCGAGGGTGAACACGTAATCTCATTGATAACTCCAAGCAAGAGCCGACCATCTCTGGTAGTCCAGATGGAGCTATTGAGCCAGAGTTGAAGCAACCGAAGGTTGATCCACCTGCCCCTTGGTAAGATGCTATCTTTGTAACCACTTAACTACTTAAGAAGCAGTCCTGATTGTGAGTAGACCTAAACGCCCAAAAGCAAATCTGCCATGCATGGTAGTATTCGATTCCAGCAACAACTCAAAGCAGACAGTGTCAATCTCCTTCGAGCTAGAGTGCTTTCGCGATCCCATCTCGGCGGGACAGCCGTAGTGCCGGGGTGAGCACAAAATTGTATCCAACGCCAGACTCAGTGGCTCTTGGGGCGAGGAGGAGCGCAGCAAGCTAGATCGTTGCTTTGCTAGAGAAGAGGGTACAAACACTCTGGCACATTACCAAGGCAAAAGATTTCAAGTGTGGATTGATTGGGTGCATGCCATCTAAGCGTGCTAAAAAGCTTACATATCAGGCCATCTGGTACGAGCTTGGTGGCGAAGAAGGAACATCTGCGTTGTTAGAGGAACTTGAGGTGCGCACATATCCCTCCATGAAGGCTCTCTTCCTACAAAAGCATGAGCACGGAGAAGACAAGTAGCTTTTGTGGAGACTTGTAACACTGGCTCTATTGCATTCGGGGAACCTTTTGCTCTTAAGCGGTGCTTTGTGTGACTCATTAATGGTTGGATAGGTAGGCCAATAGTGAAAATGAGAAAGATACGAAAGAATGAACGTATATCAATAAACTGATGAGGTTTAACAGACTTCGCTGGTCTATCCAGGTGATACGTATGATCAAGGATAGTAGTAAATCCCACGATCAACATCCTCCTTGAGTTGTTCGTTTATCCGGAGATATCCCTCCCTCCTCAAATATGGGAAATCTCGAGCAATCAGTTGAGCAACGATTCCACCAAACACAATACTTCCTGCCACGTTTAGATGGGTGTAGTCGGCCGCGTTCAGGTTGTATGTATAGGCATTTGTTGGCCCAATTGCATTCAGATATTTGGTACTGACTTGGTTCAAATTAATATACTTGGAGCCTGAGTGATGGGCAGCTGAGATTGTAGCGGCGGTCTCGTTGGCCAAACTCATGATGATAGATGGATCCCCCGTAGAATTCTGATAGTTTCGTCGAGATAACGGTGTGACCAGGATTGGTGTGGCTCCAGCATTAAAAACCTCTGTCACAAATGTTTCAAGGTTCTCTGTGTATTGTGATAGCGAGATGTTTGCAGTTGCCTTTTGATCATTGTGACCAAACTGAATAGTGACGAAAGGAATGTATTGGTCCCGGACTTGTCTAACGGTTTTCAAGACCTTGTCCCAATCACCTCCAGCGCGAAAACTGACTGTGGTAGCCCCGTTGTGACCGAAATTCGTGCCAGCAGCCCCCTGGAATAGTGTCGTGTTGAGAAAGCCATCTCCCCACCCTCCGCCATTTGCAGACTGGGTAGCAGTGGTACTATCCCCTGCTAGGATAAAAAAGGGTGCTTTGGGCGACTGCATGGCTGCGGGCGAAAAGGGATGTGCCTGGACGCAAGCCAACATACTAAGAAAAGCTAACTTGACAACCCTCAGTGTCATATTGCCTGTGTGCTTTGTGTTTCTTTTGGTATATGTTTCAATCAATCGGGGTTAAACCAAATAGCACCTCTCCGCGGCGCTTTATATAGCGCGGGCCAAAGGATCACTGAATAGACGGTCTCCATATTACATCCGGTAGACGCAGTACAGGAGAATGAAACTTCCACCAACAGGAGAAGTAATTTGCTGATATATGCGGAGCAACGCAGTCACTTGCGGGGTTGCATGAAGGGTGGGACGAAATTGACCGAAGCCCTGCAAGGACCAGCATAGTTCGCGGCCAAATAGACCGAGCAATGAGGGCATCTAAATGTCCGATTTTTTAAATTTTCCACCGGTTTGAGGTCCTAATGTCAATTCGGTAAATGAACCTATACGTCATTGGATCTCGGATTTTTGGCTTGCTCGTGATGATACATGCTCCTATAGAAGTTTCAACCAGGTTCGTTGCTATTCTTGATACTTAGTCGTTTCATACCAGTTTGTCCTCTTCTCCTATGATAATAGTAAGCAATTCGATGGGAAGCTCTACGGAGACAAGCCAACACAACTAAAATATTGATTCTAGTGATCCAAAACCACCCAGACTACCGGTCATTTTGCGACCCGACCGCTGGCTGTCAGGAATCCCATGAGTCAAAAGCTGCCAGTTCTGTCCATCTGTTTACCAACTCTTTTCTCATCCATGAAGTGCGCCAGCCTAGCACCTTCTCTACACGAGACATAAATTCCAACGATCCTTGCTGCTCGACTGGGTGCCGTAGACAATAACCAACTAGAGTGACATTAGTGCCTGGTGAGTCGACGAAGATTTGGGGCACGAACAACGATGCAGTAAATGGGATGCCATGAAATAGGCATTCTCTACACTTTCGTTGGACAAGGAAAGACCAATAACCATCACTAGATTATCGGCAATCGTTTTCTACTAGCCCATATTAGCCACTCAACTCTAAAGTAAGAAATTGAAAATAGTTGCCTCTTTAATACGCCGCGAGCAAGCAATTTCATAATCACTCATGTGGTGTGGTGGAGTGTCGGATAAAGTGAGAAAAATGCATGCCGAGTAGTAATACTGCATCCCGACCACTAGGTAGGCAATCAGTACTCGCATACTTCAAAATAAACCATGACTGGAGGTATACCTGCAGGGGGGGATATCATCCATAGCTCAGGAAAGGGTCTGTCGACAGATACGTCTGGTGCCTGGTACCGTAATGGCTGCCAGGTCATGGGCTTCGTTCGGTTCCACTCATTCACACTTTCCGAGATGTTGCACCAGGCTTCTCGATCCACAATTCTCCCAGGCGAATCGGAACAGAGTTGGATTATACGCGCACAATGATAAATGATCACGTTGGCACAGGCGGCATCATCATGGCGGTGAAACATAGATGAGCGCTCGTAGTTTTGCATCTCTAACTGCAGGGGTTGATACTGAACTATCGATGCATAGATAGCCTGTCGCAGAAACTGCCAGCTCACTGCCTCTGCCAATCCACCTGACGATGCAGAGCGTGCCACAAGGTTGACAAGTCTGTTAGATCCTAGCAGGTGAAACTGCTGGTCAGTATTGTTCTCCAGCTCTTCATAAATACGGAGGATCACAACCGCAATGAGCATATTTTCATCGCAGTTCGTTTCGGCTTGGTCCAATGCTGCGATCAATAGCTGCAGGCATTGTCCATGATAAGTCGAGGCCTCCCAGTCACTATCGCCGGCCAAAATAGCATCAAGGCGTGCAGATAGGGCCAAAATTGCTTTTAACACCATCGAATTTTGCAGCGCTCGTCTTGGGACTTCAGTGCTGAAGTGAGATTGGACATCGCAAATATCGGCCTAGTGCGGTCAGACATCTCCATTCACTGTAAAGGGCTCGTGACTCACCCAGGGTGCTATTTTCTGGATAAAATAGCGCATCAGGGATGCTTCCCTCAATGTTAATGTTGATTCATTACCGGAAGTATGACTTAGTGGACCGCTGCTCGGGTTCTGTTGAGGTTCATTCTCGTGGATCGCAGGGCTACCTGCGCGAGCTTTGTCTATGTCCTCCCTATAAAGTTCACGGTTTCCTCCACGGCCGCGCTGTGACATGTGGGTTGGCGATCGATCCTTGTCGTCTGGCGACGCGTTTTTCTCGTCTCCAGCTAATACATCATTCGTCTCAAGGACAAACGTCGCTATGTCCGATCAGTGCATGCCCAAGGCCTCCATGTTTGACGGCTTACCAGGGCGAGACACATCTACCCAGACTTGCTCCTCATCCCAGGCCAGATCGAACCGTGCAGGGGCCCCATTGCTCTTCTGATAGACATGGTGAACAGCCTTGAACTGAAAGCGGGGATCGAGATGACAGGCCCGACCAAGCCGTGAGCATGGGGTGCAGGCCGAGGCACCAGCGGGAATCACACATCGGATATGGCGAGTGCGACACCTTTCACAACCCTTGCCTACTCTCATAGGGATGTCAGGTCGAGATGGGTGCCATTGGGGTTATCGAACAACAATCCCCAGATGCGCCGGGGGATTCCCCACGTTTGCTGAGTCATCTGGGAAAGTCTGCGGAATCCGTTTGTGGCGACTGATCCGAGAGGAAGTGTATAAAGTACTGCAGATTCGAATATTCTCCGTTCTAGTGATGTCAGATATCTGGCAACCTTGGAAAGACCAATGCTGTTGCCTACACTATTCTCAACGGCACATTAAAAATAGCAACATCGCTTGCCGAGACTTGTCAAACAGCGCACAAGTTGCTTTCTTCAGAAGCACGACTGTATAATTTCCAATAATTGTATTATGTATTCCGCACGAGCGAGCATTTTGTCTCCCGCTGCTGGGCGAAAATATACGTCGAGTAAGCTGTAGGCAGAAGGAAATACCTCTGATCGGCGGTGGGTCTTGATAATTCACATCTGAATATGGCCAATCGACACTCGGATGCCCAGCTTGGATGCCAATCCACCACTAAGGAGCTATCGGCAGAATTTAGTACCTGATGGACAGACACAGGGCCAAGAAAAAGGTGTTGACTCCGCCTCCCTCTTGATCTTAAAAATGTCAATGTCCAGGGCTTTCACGCACGCGGTGTTCATCTCGACAGGTGACTCCCGGTGAGATTTTGTACAGATGATTCTCTTTGACTTTCTTCTGATCGCCACGACATGGCAAATAGTTCTTGGTGCTTCAGGTGCCTGTGAGGAATCTCCACTTTGACCTCATAACAAGATTATTGCTCATGCCATCCAGGTTCAAGCAGTGTAACCATTTCCAGTCAAGGCGATGCCGACAATCTGACCAGTTGTGACACCTTTGAAGGAAGCATCACAATCTCCTCTTCAGTAAATGGAGCAATCACACTCAATAATGTGGAGGAAATTAAGGGGTCGTTAATCGCTGAAGGTGTATCGGGGCTCACGAAGCTCATCGCTCCTGATTTGGACACTCTACACGGGGCTTTAATGTTGAGCAACCTCGCTTCACTCGACACCCTAACTATGGGTGCGCTGTCACGCGTATCTTCGGGTATTACCATCACAGGGAACCCAAAGCTGAAAACTCTCGGTTTTGCGGAATTAGAAGAAGTCGATGGATTGTTGGAATTGACGGGCTCATTTACAAGGTATGATAGGAGCATGTAACATATTTCGCTGCCGGAGAGGCTGACGAATGTTTTCAGCGTGTCGCTTCCTTCGCTCGACCAAGCCAAAGGACAAACAACAATTAACGGAGCCAGCTCTATGTCATGCAGCAGTTTGAATGGATTACAATCTCAGGGCGTGTTTAAGGGCAGCTATTCGTGCGGTGCGGGCTCCTCTGGTCTCAGCGGAGGAGCTAAAGGCGGGATAGCAGTGGGCGTGATTTTGAGTGTTCTCCTGCTTCTTTTGCTTCTCTGGTTCGTGCTTCGGCGGCGTCGGCAGAAACGAAGACTGGGAGGTGCCGAACCGACTGTTTCGTCTCCATCCACTGCCGAGATACAAGTCGAAAAGGTGTCACTTCCCGAAGAAAGAGTATCACCAGCAAGTGAGCCGCAGAATGCTATGCCTCGAAAGCCGGTGGGATCGGCGATACTCTTGGACGGTCGCTCGATCCATGAGGCTCCGATAGCGGCCACACCTGTACAAGAATGTCATGAACTAGACGCAGGGCCAGTTTTGAGCTCACACCAGCGACCTATACACGCGGAACAAGATGATCCCTATGACCCAGTGACGAAACTAAGTAATTTGGGAGACCAGGAAAATGGCCATTTAACACAGCCTTGATTTCAACATATACCCTCTTTTGAATGATGCAACTCGTTAATTTCATTCTATTTCGCTGGATTCTGAGAGAAGTCTAGGCAGTCCCCTCGGTTACCCTAGGTGAGCTTGTAACCCGTATCACTATTATGGTAATTCTTGACGCTTGAGTAGAAGCCGACAGTTAAATCCGACCATCAACTTTCTTTCGTAGAGATGCCAAAAAGGTGATTTCCTTGAAACAATGCTACGCTCTTCGGCTCTCATCGTGTGTATGAGTCGCCAAATATCTCTATCATTTCCCAGTCTGACTGAGATCCTAGTTATCCTGGTCGAACAATCTACAGCTAAGGTAACTAGGCTGTTCTTTTGTTTTATGGACTCATTCAAGTTCTATTGATATTGACAAAACCCACGTGAAAATACATGTTCTCATTTATTCATTTTGGTCGCCATTCAACCAGCGCACAACCCATTTGTCCATCTAAACGATGACCTTGTGGCCAGCAGCCTTCTCTTCGGGCTCACCGAAGATGTCAATGTTCCAACGAGGCTTGTCTGGAGGATATTAGCATGTATTACCTATTATGGATGAACAATCTGAAAACATACTAGCAGTAAAAGGAGTGTTGTAGCGTCTGCGGTTCTGGCCCAAAGCGCTGACCTTCTGAACCTCCTCAGGGGTGAGCTCCACCTCCTTGAAGTTGTCACGGATGCGCGACGGGGTGACCGACTTAGGAATGACACTGTGGCCGCCAACTTGTGACCATGCGAGGCTTTATATGGTTAGTACCGAATTGCCCACTTCGTGGGACAGGGGGTAATGATCATACATGACATGAGCAGGGCTGACTTCTTGACCAGTGCGCTTCGAGACTGACTCGGCAACCTCCTTGACCTCAGGGCGGGTGATAAGAAGGGGAATGCCGAGCATGTTGTTACCGAAAGCCTAAAAGGTTCAGTCAGCATCAGACAAAAGATTTCACAGAGGCATGGCAAACACACCGAGTAAGCAGTGACGTGGATGCCCTTCTTCTGACAATACTCGATCAAGTCGTTGCTCTGGAGGACGGGGTGACGCTCAATCTGGTTCGCAGCGGGAACAACACCGGTACCATTGATGATAGCCTCAAGCTGTGGGAAATGGTAAGCTGCTATAAAGACATTCTTGATATTTTGAAGTACGAACGTGTTCAATCGTGTGGTTAGAGACACCGACGGAGCGAGCCTTGCTCTTGGGGAGCTGGGTCATAGCTGAGAAACGTCAGTTGCGTGCATTCTTTCGGCCTAAGCCCAGGACGATCCTACCTTTCCAGGTATCCACAATAGAGACGCCATCGTCAATTACCACGTCACCACCCTCAACGGTGCTGTTGGCAACGAGGGGGAAGTATGAGTCACCCTTTTGGAAGGCCACGGGCCAGTGAACAAGGTAGAGCTAGATCAATTAGCGGAATTCTTCTGTTGAAGGATACAGCAGTCCTACATCAAGGTAGTCCAGCTCCAGCTCGGCAAGACACTTATCGAGAGAGGCCTCCACAACTTCCGGGCGGTGCTGGCTGCATCCAGTCAGTGCTTGTGTAGGAAACGAATACTTGGGTAGTGGCGTACCTGTTCCACAGCTTGGAGGTCTAGGAAATAACCAATCAGTTTCCGCGAGCACGCAATGTCTTGGAGATGGTTTCACTTACAATGAAAATGTCCTCACGCTTCAGACCAGGAACATCCTTGTAGGCACGCTTGATACCCTCGGCAACCTCACGCTGGTTCTGGTAGCTGGATAGCGGAGCGGTCAGTAAAATGCGCGAAATCCAAACCCAAACTCTAGTGAACGAATTGCATACATAGTGGCCAAATCCTACAGCGAGTTAGTACCAACCTCTCCAAGGACAACATATGTACTTACCAGGTGGCGGTAACCGGCCTTCAAGGCCTCATAAACAGCCTCGCCGACCTGGCCAGGGGCGGATTGCCAGGTACCAAAGCCCAGCTGGCTATAATGTGGGGTCAGCAATGTGGTATCCAGTATCGCCCAGGTATACCTACGGGATCTGGTGGCCGGAGTTGAGAGTGACTTTCTTTCCGAGAGACATTGTAGAGCTTGTCAAAAAATAATAGACAGAGTTGAAGGGAAAAAGAGAAAGTTGGGGGAGATGCCAGTCTTAATAGCCCAGATCCCGGCGGGGTTCATAGAACATCCCACGCGTCTTCTCGGAGCAGACTCCACCGAAGCTCGGGGTAACTGGAGTAGCATAGTGTTACAGTCAACTCTTCAGACTCTATTCTGCCTTTTTATTTCCTCATAGAATATTCATTACATATAAACTGCAAGTACTACCCTAGTTGTATAGGTCCCACCCGGTCGAAGCTTCGCCGTCTCAAACATGATGTCACATCCACCGTCAATGGTGGAATCACTTTTTCCTTCTCTCAACTCTCTCAATTCCTATAAGTTATCTAACGACAGTGCTGTATCGGGCACTCAATTCGGTATAGTTCAATCCTTTCATTGGCGGGGGCGGGGCTCGGACCAACTCCGGCTTTGTCGGTGCGATCGCTCCGGGACCGAGGAGACGATGCCGAGCCATAGACGAGATGCTCTGTTGTATCAAGGTTGGAGTATAGAAAACGACTCCAACACTGACCAGATATGAAATTGATTTCTGCTTATAAATCTGGCCAACCTACGGTTCGACTTCAAATCCCCCTTGTCAATTGCCTGTGAACAACCCCGCTCCTTGCATGATGATCATTGCTTCTAACATTATAGTCCATTGGCTGCTTTGCCTCTTTACTGTGCTACTTGTATGCAAATGTATGCCCAACGCTTGGTGAAGAGAGTCACAGGACTCCCTGTTTGCGACGTACGTTAGCTTCGGTTCTCAGCCACTACTGTATATATCACAGGCAAATATACGAAGGCAGCACATATCCATCATGGTATTATACCATGTATCCAAATTAATTGCCGAAGTTACCATCTTCATTCCTAATGCCCTTTGAAGTAAATATGTCCGATGGAGCGAGTATCTGACAGTTCAATGCGAGTCCTCCACATATTACAAATCTGCCTCGGGAATAACTTACCTTACATCCTTGTACATGTATATTAATAGCAATTATAAAAATGTCTGCGTTCCTTCGCAGTGACCAGGGCTTGTAGAAGTTTATTATGGTGAATATTATTCTCTTCTGGGAATGTGCTTGATTAAAAATGTCAGATAACTTTTGAGATCGCATTCTCGATCTGATGCTACTGCCAATGAAACGACATGGTCGAATCGCTGCCTGGTCTAAGCCTACAATGCGCCCTTCCAGTCCATCTCCGTTTGATTGACATCTGAACAATAAAACAATCTCTATAACAAAGACTCCGATCCAGCTCCTTTGAAGAACTTCTATGTCAGTTCACCCGTGTTATCTCCAAGTGACAGCCCATTTCTCACGGTTTGCAGGAAGATGTATCAAACCGACTCAAGATTCTAGGACTCATCGTATCTAATTGCATTCACAAAGCGTTCGAGGTGCAAGGGCGGCTTGTGCAAGACTGGAAGGATGTAAAATTATTGTTGCTGATGAGATCGAAACAGTCGTCCAGCCTAGGTCTGAAGATGTCTCAAGTACCAGGTTAAAGTTGTTTGATGGATCAAACACTGGGTATTTACGACCGAGTTAATTTAGTAGGGCTTACGCACGAGGTCGAAGTGCAGTTGAGTAAGTCAACTGGTCATTACTACTGGCCAATATGAGATCTCGCCTGCGTCTTCCTTGACAATGCCCAGTCTAAATGTTGCCCTGAGGTAGACTTTGATATAGGGTATATATGATTTACTTAGCACTTCCTTATCTCAAACTTTGATCAATGCATGGAATCACATTAAGACTTCATAAAAGGATCATCACAGCACGTAACTAGAGGATCCATGACGGAACAAGGCTACTGTTTCATAAAGACATCAAGAAGAGCAGGATAGTTCGGTGTACCCAGTCCAGTTACCGGATCCCATCCTTCAGCCGCGGAGAAGCCATCGGTACCGCAACCAGCGTTTGAACCTTTGGTTACGTCGAAGAATGCTTCCGGGTGCGCGTACAAGACCGGGTTGACGAAGCCGACGGTAGATTTTCCAGCGGCTAATCGCTCCTCATTGATGCGAGTGAGGATCGAAGCGAATACAGGTGCAGAGGCAGATGTGCCACCAATCGAGGTAGGCAGACCTCGGTTGTAGATGACGACCTTGTCCCCAATGGCAGCCACATCTGGATATCCACGACCGATCCTGTTGTAAACTCCTCCATTGGCACCAAAGCTGCTGTTATCCACGCTTTCATAGTAGGGATATGAGGGCTTGGCCTTTGCAAAGTAGTCGGCAACGGCCTGCGCCTGGTAATCCGGCGCCTTATAGATGTTGCTGAAACCACCGCCCGACGGGAAACTGGTCACAGCCTCCTCTGTATGATCTTCGGGCGATGCACCCAATGGGATGATGGTTGCTCCAACTGCTGTTAAGTAAGGGCATGAGGCGGGGAAATCGGGAGCGAAGATCTTGCCCTGGGGACCAAGACAATTACTGGGAGTGGGATCACCTCCACGTCCAGCCACACCTGAGTCACCCGAGGCGACCACTACCGAGACACCCATGGTACCCAGCTTCATGAACTCGGCACATTGTCGCCGTTGGTAGGAAATGGGGAGATCTGCTTCAGCAGAGCCGTATGAAATTGACACGACCTTGGGCGGGTCGTACACGCCACACTGCAGGGAGCCCTTGTAACCGCCGTCTTGCGGGTCGGGGTATGCAGGATCCAATGGCGAGATTTCGCTGCAGTATGATCCATCAATAGCATCCAAAAAGGTATTCAAAAATCCATTGAATGTGTAGGAATTCTCATAAACCATATCATCAGTTTGAAATAGAATAGAGTTCTGCGGCCAGATAATCGGATAGGAGATCTGGAAATCCAGATCAGACTCAGCCCCAGCATTGACAAGAGATGTAGGAGCCTGGGCACCATCGACTGCTTTGAGAGTCGGGTGTGTGCCGGTGGGGATTTTCCTGGTAGCCAATTAGCCTAACGATGCGAACAATCAGTATAAGTGTTGGCATACGAGTACAACGTCGAGAAGAACAAGTCAAGATCTTCTTGAGCGTAGACGTCCCCAATTCCCTCAAAGATACCCAGTTCATTGCCCTTTGTGGCAGAAGTTCCCTGGCTGATGTTGTACATTTCTGTCCTTCTGTTAGCATATCTAATACATAAAAGGCAGGATTTGCTGTATGTCACGAACCCTGGATGCATTGGGGGGTAACAGCGATGGAGCAAAAGCCCGCAATATTGGCCAGGAGTTCCTCCACTGGCAGGAGTATTGGCTCAAGAGCAGGGGGCTGTCCGTTCGAGAACCGTTTCTGGAGCGAATTGGTCGGTTTTCGAACACCGGTCACCTCCCGCAGAGCGATCCCTGGAGTGATGTAGTCAACATGCTCACGCACAGAGCTTGGGACATGATATCTGAAACCACCAGTCAGTCAGGGTATGTTTATGTTTATAAGCTGAGAATGAAATCCTTACTCGCGACACGCCACATGTGAACGGCCCGTTTCGGAATGAGAATAGACGTAATACTTCGTGTGCAGCAGCTTCTCCAACTCCTCGGCATCCGCATCAAACTGAATCCATTGCTTATTGACTGACTGGGTTATGCGATCTTTAGCGATACCAGCCGACTCCAACCAGGAACGCACATCATCCACGCTTTTCTGGGCCGGGGCAAAGAGGTCATGCACCTCTTCGCTAGAAAGATGCTGTCCATAGCGGCTCGAGAATGGGTTCGATCTAAGTGGGTTAGTTGGGCGCTCATAAAGGATGGGTGAGCAACATACAAATCCATGAGTAGCTCATGGCCGTAGTCAAGGTTAGACTGCGTCAAACCGATCCGTACAGGGAGGGAGACTTTGCCGTCGAGCTTCTTGCCTTCCATCCAAGTGCTTGGAATGAAATCACGGCGCTCATGCAGCTCATAATGTTGGGTGGGTGCAGCTAAGCTACTGACAGCCGCCAGACCCACGAGCAGAATGGAGGACTTCATGGTTTTGAGTTGCGTTTACCAGTCAGGTCCTGAACAAGTAGAGATTGAAGTAAACACTACGCGATACAACGGGCTTTATATGGCCCTTTCAGCCACCCACACTAGGTAGGATCGTTCTCTGAACTAGCTCCGTGAATATCTTTTGCACATCGCGCACCCATCCCATGGACAGTAGCAGACAGTCAACCTAAACCGGTGCCGCCATGGTCTTGCGCCTCGTGGTGGATCCCTGATAGGCGTTGAACACGGGCATGGATTGGGCCTTCAGGGCCAAGCGCCACTAATTCGGTGGATTGGCATCACTCAAGAGGCAGGACTCCAGTCGATCGCCGATGCTAAGGCCCCGAAGGGAAAGAAGACGGGGTATGATAAAGCTTATGTTGCACGCTACTTTAACTTTGGCTTGATAACCGGCAGGCGCCGCAGGTTTGTCCTAAGTACCTAGGCATTGTTGCTCAGAAGAACTCAAATCAAAGCTCCTCGGAAGGTTAAGAGGGGAAGATATTGGAAGTCACGCGAGCCCATGTGAAGGTTATCGATACGGAGAGTATATCTCTCCTCTAAGGGTTGCTTTCTTCGGCGACTTTTAAGGAATGGGGAAATCGCAATCCCATACTCGATAGATCGGCCTGCGCGAGGTGGGAAGGATGCACTTCCAAGTGGCCTGATAATGGCCTTTGTGCTCGTTAGTTGAAACCTCCGAGGGTACACAATCGCGCCAACCCAACGAACGGCTCGGAATAACGAGGGACGATGGTCCCATGTGATACGAATGGAATCAAAAGTCCATTCATAATCATAACCTCGGTAGATATTGGACTGTGATCAAAGGGACCAACGGTTTGAATAAGAGCAGCTGATCGCCATGGGCGTCCATTCGAAGGAAGCGAAGTTGGTCTTGGAAAAGCAATCCGTCAAATCTTAAACAGGGAGCGGTTGATGTGATTTGATGCCGAAATGAGGCCGACGATCCTGATTCCACCCCTGAATCCCCCGCATTCACGGAATCTCCAGGGAAAGAGGGTCCGAATCCTTCTCCATTCACCATGGCGTTTGCGGGACCAAGCGAGCTGAAGAGGGGGAAAATGTCGAGTGAAAGAGGCCCGATTTCGTGACCAGAATCGATCATGAACTCTAGTGCTGGACTATTGTTGTTAATATTGCCAAATGCATGTAGCTCCGGCGAGCTCTGCAATTACTGCCTTACAGGAAATGGCTACACTGGGGATATGCAGACCCCACGTACTACAAAGACAAAGACCGTTGTAACGGCCGCCATCCACTATGCAGCCAAGATGCCGCAAATGAATGATCTCAGAACATGGTATTAAAAAGCCAGTTGATACAGGAAATCAAGCCAACATGGTTGCACTGTGGACACAATGTGTCTGTGCCTTCTACAGGCATCCATGGGAGCATAATAGTCGAGACATCCATGCTCGTCCTTGGGCGCATGATGTGCGCCGGAACGGAACGTATTGTTTCGGCTGATGGCGTTTGTTGTTGGTGTACAGGTGATCAGGCATTGACTAGTCTCAATGTTAGAAACTGTGAGAGCTCTAGTTGAATTGAGAGCATTTTGAATGCCCATTGGCTGGACTTTCGTTCAAAACTCAGAAGCCAGGGCAGCCGTTTTGGACAGCGTGAAACTGAAGTCAGTCACGGAATGCCTATTGGCTCAGTCGTTGCTCTTAGTCTCTCGCTTTCAGGGGCGCTGCAAAAAGTGTGTTTCAACTGCTGCGTCCAAATTGCCACCGAGAGGCGGCAGAACGAATTGGTGTGATGTTCAGGGGTGGAATCCCCTTTGGTAGGGTAACGTTCAGGGCCCGCACCATTTCCACAATAAATCCACCAACTGCTGTCTGTGCAGTGGCTTGGCAATGTAGTCGGTCATTCCCCTAGCCAGATATGTTTCGGCATCTCCCTTCAAGGCATTGCCCGTGAGAGCGATGATAGGGACGTCGACCTTCATCTGCCGAATGAGCTCTGTGGCCGTCAAGCCATCCATGACAGGCATGTTAATATCCATCAGGATCACATTGTAGCTCAAAGGCTTTTGTTTAACCAGGCGCACCGCTTCTGCGCCATCCCAAGCCGCATCGACGCGCTCAAATCCGAGGCTACCGAGAAGTTTCAGCATGATAGTTTGATTGACCTTGTTATCCTCAACTAAGAGGATGTGGTTATGCGGCGCGACTTCTTGAAGCGCGGCGGAGTGGTCAAGGGCCACCGGTGTCACTGGAGCGAGCTTCTTCTTTGCGTGCGCGACTGGAAGATCCACACGAGCCATTTTGGCTCTCATCCAGAAGACACTGCCGGGTCCATCTGGATTGGCATGGAACCCAACGGCTCCATCCATCAATTCAGCCAAACTCTTGCAAATCGAGAGTCCAAGACCGGTGCCTTGGTATCTTCTGGTGGCCGTGTCTGCAAACCGCGTAAATGGGGTGAAGAGGGTGCCCACGGCAGACTCGGGGACACCGATACCAGAGTCCACCACTTCAGTGGAAACCACATACAGATTGGGGTCTTTGTCGTCGACGGCATATGTGGCGTTGATCTGTACGTGGCCATTTTCGGTGAACTTGACTGCGTTGCTGACCAGATTCTGTAGAACTTGGCGAAATCGGAGCGTGTCGCCTTTGACTTTCAAAGGGAAGTCTGGTTCAATGGTCGTCTGAAGCTTAACTCCGGGCTTTAGGGTCGGTCGGCAATTACGCACGACTGCATTGATCACAGTTGGGACATCCAGTACATCGGCATTCAAGGGGAAAGATCCCGATGACAATTTGGAGTAGTCCAGCACGTCATTGATGACCTGGAGCAAAATAGAGGTGGAATCTTCCAGGATGGATGCATACTCCCGCTGCTCGTCATTCAACTCGGTCCTTATCAGCATGGTTAAAGCCAAAAACATGCCGTTCATTGGCGTTCGCAGTTCGTGTGACATGTTCGCCAGAAAGTCGGACTTGAGTCTCGCGGATTCTTCAAAGGCGTCAATCAAGCGCGCCTCGGCTGCCCGGCGCTCGGTCATATCGCGAGTCACCTTGACGAAGCCTATATGGCTGCCATTTTGATAGATGGGGGTGATCATCACATTGGCCCAGAATCGGGTGCCATCCTTGCGGTAGCGCCAGCCTTCATCCTCGACCTTTCCTTCTTGGAGACAGACCTCCAGCTCGCGGGCGGGTTTGTTGATCTCGCGATCTTCGCGACCGTAGAAAACGGAGAAATGCCGACCGATAATCTCCGTGGACGAGTATCCCTTGAGGATCGCAGCGCCTGAGTTCCAGGTCGCAATGTGGCCCCGTGTGTCCAGCATAAAAATAGCATAACCCTTCACCGTGTCAATCAGGATCTTGTAGGTTTCATTCAGGTAGGTCTGTTTGCTCATCAGGTTGATCTGGTCGCGTTTCGTCCTCTGGGCTTCCAGCAGGACATAGAGGAGGGCGTCATTCCGAAAGATGGGTGTCACGCTTAGCGAGTAATGGGCGCCGTCCACCTGGACATCCTCGATCACCTGTACGTCCCGGGTGGATAGGGCAGTGCTGATGGCACCACTAAGGGCGGCGATGTTCGGGGAAGGAACAATGGACGGAGGGAGGTCGTAGACACTCGTGGTGAGTAGTTGATCTCGTGACCAACTGAAGGCGGCCACATGACTGTCGGAGACTTGGACAATGTGCAGTGAGTGATCGAGGACGAGCGTGGGTTTCCTAGAGGGGTCAGTGAGAGGACAAGGGAGAGGAGAGGGAGACACGTACGGTGTTAACCGGTAGATGTCACTCAACGACGCATCTTCGAGTTTGTTCTCATTCTCATCCGGAGGAGTGATCATGGTGACATTGTTAACCGGGCAGTCAATACGGAGGTGGAGCATCTGATCCACTGGAAGCATAACGGGGCCCGGATGATCATCGAGTGAAGATGAGTTGTGTCAAAGATCAAAGACCAAAGATAAAGATAAAAGATAAAAGATCAAAGATCAAAGATCAAAAGATCGAGATGCAAGATCCATAAGTGTCAGGAATTGACTAGTTCCTGGTATGGCAGACGGACAAGGTTGAGTGGACGGGAATGACCCCCGGCGGGGAAAAGGGTGGAGTTAAAAAATGCGAGGGAAAATGAACAAATGAAGAAGTGAACAGAGAGAATGAATAGAATCTAAACAGAACATGGGAATATAGGAATATAGGAATATAGGAATACAGGAATATAAGAATACAGGGAATAAAGGAATGGGGAATAAATGTGGAAAGACTAAAACACGCCTGCGACGTAATGACTTTCCTTACTAGTAGGTACTTTTGTCACGCCTTATATATCTATAAGCTTATATCACATTGTCGCGCTCGGCCTTCTCCACCATCTTCACCACTGCATCTGCGATTCCATAAGAGAACGCATATCCGCCTCCACCAAACCCGTATGCCGATAGCACTACTCGGTGGTCTTTACGCTCCGAGTCCAGACGGAAGCCTCCCCTTCGTGAGGGCCGGATGCCAATGATATGGCTCACGGCCTCTGGAGCAGGGTGTTTGGGGACGATTTCCGGTGCTAAGAGATGTGCACGGGCAATTTCATCGCGAGCAACGTCCATATCGACCTCGGGAGAACTGGAATGGTGTTAGCTGGGAATCATAGATGGGCTGGGAGATGTATACAGGTCATCTTGCTGTTTCACACCACCTAGAACCACCCCTTTGGACAGTGGCCGGGGGATCACGTAGGTATATTCTTTGCCATTCCGGAAGTAGAGCGTATTGCACTGGTCGGTGGCCAAAAACACATTTTGTCCTCGTTCTGGGAAACACTGGTCGTCTTGTACATCTGTCAGGGTTTTGCTCCCTAGGCCACTTGCATTGATAAAGACCCGAGACTCGGGGAACAACTCATATAATTCTTGGAGAGACTCGACCCGTTTGCGAACAAATCGACCCCCTAGTGACGTGACCTGTCTCCCCAAGTAAGGCATATGTCGGGTGGGATCTGTGACCAGGGTCTCATAGGACCAGGCACAGTTGAAGTGGGATGGGTATTCCCCAGGATTCATCTCACGAAACTAGACAAAGATTAGTGTGGTCCATCAATGATCCGAGTAGCATAGTACTTTGGAGACCACCGTCTTGCCCCATATCGCCGAGTCAGGGGCCGGTTGCTGTTCAAGATACTCGCGAGCACCAACAATGCTCACGCCGGAGTCGGGATCCTCTGCCATCTTCAAGAGTATACGATGGGTGACAGCTTGCAAGTACCGTTGATCAGGAGTGATGCCGCCAGCGGCATGCCACGCAGCACCAGCCCAGGCCGATGCATAGTAGATATTCTGATCTCCAGGGAGATATTCAGCCACCAGCACCACTGGAAAGCCATTCTGTAATAGTTGTCGAGCAGTTGCACAACCAATGATTCCGGCACCAAGGATAATCACCGGCCGCTGAGAGAAGGGCAGTTCATTCCCCATAGTGGAATGATATAGGAGAAGACTGTAGTCCTCCCCAGATAAAAGTGTGAGGGGCAATACGGCATGCTCCGTACTATATAGCAGAGAAAGTCTCCTTTGAAAATCCTCTTGCTCGTTTTACCGTATGTGAAGCTATCTTACTCTGGCAATTATTAAGTGGGTCAACGGCCTCTGCCGACAGCACCGCAATTCTCCTCTCCTCTACATGTCTCTTGGCCCAATACCATCTCTCTCTCGTCTGGGGCTCGAACTAGAAAGACTTGGCTGGTATCAATTTCGGCCTGGGATGTGTTTTACGTTCTAAATGCCTCCGCTTATTGGCTGTTCCCTGCCGTCAGAGTCTGCGCTTGTCACACATCCCTGCAACTGGAGACAATCCACGCAGCCCCAGAGTGCCTAAAATTGCCTATCGCGATTCAACACTCGGCTCAAGCCGACTCATATCACTAAAAGGGTTCATTTTGAACATTCCGTGACCCGGGGAATTGGGTTGCCCGGGGTGGACCGGGTTCGCGATGGAGACTGAGAAATATCGGCGAAATTCCTCGGTGGGTGCTCAGCCCACTACGATCGAGCCCGTTTGGCTGGAGGCGATTGGATTGAAACATTTGGGCTTGGAGTGGAGTTTCTGACTGGTTCACTAGCATTCTCCGGATCATGTCCGCGATGACATCGCCGTTCTGCACGATCGGGATGCCGAGAAGATCCTACCTTACGAGGCCGATGACTCGCCATTTCCAGAGGTGCGGGCGGTCATTCAGCCAGTCAATGACCTGACACTGCCTGTAAATACGGTCCGTATGTGGACCATTGGCCTCGTATTCACCATTGTATGTCTAATGCGACCGGAGAAGTGACAAGAAGCTAACGGCAACAGATCGGAAGTGGACTGAATCAATTGTTCAGCTTGCGACAGCCTAGTGTGACCATCAGTGCTTTAGTTGCCCAACTGTTGGCCTTCCCTGTGGGATGCGCCTGGGCGAAATGCATACCCCTAGGAATGCTGAATCCTGATCGGCACTTCAACATCAAGGAACATGCCTTGATCACCATCATGGCCAATGTTTCTATTGGCTCTGCTGCTGCAACTCAGGTTATTGAAGCACTGGTTAAATTTTATAATATGCCGTCGCAGGGCGGCTTTGAAATCTTGCTGTGTATCACTACGCAATTGTTCGGCTTCGGCTTGGCCGGTATGGCCTCGCGCTGGCTTGTCGGACCAGCAGCAATGCTTTGGCCGCAGGTCCTGTCAAATGCTGCACTTCTGGCTACTCTACACTCTCGTGTTAATGCCGTCGCAGATGGCTGGCGAATTACACGTCTCCGCTTCTTCCTTTATGTGTTCGTCGCTGGCGGCATCTGGTATTTCGCGCCAGGCTATCTCTTCACGGGTCTCAGTACCTTCAACTTTATTTGTTGGATTGTGCCCTCCAATGTGGTGGTCAATCAGCTCTTTGGACAAACGACAGGACTGGGCATGTCGATGTTAACCTTTGACTGGGCCCAAGTAGTCTACGCCAACCAAAGTCCTCTACTGGTTCCTTTCTGGGCTGGTCTTAATGTCATGGGGTCATTTGCGCTCTTTTTCTGGCTTGTTTGCCCCCTTGTCTACTACACTAACACGTGGTATTCCGCGTATCTGCCGCTCCTCAATTCCAACACTTTTGACAACACTGGAAGTACCTACAACACTAGCCGCATCATGAACGCGGCCGGCCAAGTCAACCAAACTGCCTATCGAGACTACTCGCCCATGTTCCTACCGGCTGGCTATGCAATCACTTTTGGTGTTGCCTTTGCTAATCTGACTGGTATCTTCTTTCACGTTGGACTGTACCATGGCAAGGACTTGTGGCAGCAATGGAAGGGTACGAGCAAGCAGGATGTCCACGGTCGACTGATGTCTGTCTATCGCCCTGTGCCCTGGTGGTGGTTTGTCGCAATTACAGTCCTAATGTTTGCGCTGAGCATTGTTACCAATGAGGTATGGCACACCGGGCTGCCGGCCTGGGGTGTGTTGGTGGCTTTCATGATGCCCATGGTCTACATAATCCCAGTGGGTATTATTAAAGCCGTGACAAACATCAGCAGTAACCAGCTGAACTTACTCACCGAATTCATTGGTGGATATGCCTTTCTCGGGCGGCCAGTAGCCAACATGGCGTTCAAATTCTATGGCTATGTTGCTGTCCAGCAAGGACTTGAGTAAGTGATCTTCTCCGAAGCACAAGCACACAAATTAACATCGCAACTAGATTTGTTGCGGATATGAAACTGGCTCATTATATGCACATCGCACCGCGGACCCTGTTTGTTGCTCAAGGCCTTGCCACGCTGGTTGGGGCTATCGTTCAGTGTGGAGTGACAGTGTTCATGATCACCCGAATCGAGGGCGTCTGCACGTCTGATGCAGAGGGAAATTTCACATGTCCCCATGGGAGAGTCACATACTCTTCCTCGCTTATTTGGGGTGAGTTCTATTCCTTTTATTGTCCACTCACCCTACAACTGGCCGCTAACCAATCTACAGGCGCCATTGGCCCAGGTCGACTGTTCTCATCCGGGCAAATCTACAGCAACCTACTTTGGTTTTTCCTTGTTGGTCCTGCCGCAGTGGTGATCACATATCTATTGGGTCGTCGGTGGAGAGCCGTCAACTATCTCTCCTGGCCCGTTGCGTTTGGCGCAATGAGCCAGGTTCCACCCGCTACTGGTATCAGCTTCTCCTCTTGGTGGGTTGTCAACATGATCTTCAACGGTCTACTGCGTCGCAGCAGACCCGCCTGGTGGTCAAAATACAGTGAGTATCCGCAATCCCACATGGAGCTTCTGTTGCTGCTCTCTTACTAATTGTCTACAGATTATGTTTTGTCTGCCGCGCTAGACTGCGGTGTTGCAGTAGCGACTGTGATCATATTCTTTTGCATCACTCTCCCTGCTGGCTCGTTGAGCTGGTGGGGCAACAAAGTGTCTGCGAACACAGCGGACGGTCAAGGCACTCCCTACAAGAATCTACCGGTGCAGGGCTACTTTGGGCCTCCGAGGGGGTCGTGGCAGTGACCTTACTTCTGTACTATATTTACTTTTTCCATATTAGCGTTTGCGTACATAATTATCGGTGACTTCGCTTTAAGCTTTATATACATCTACAATATCTTGCACATATGGGTGTCGGGATGGTCTGGGATACTGTTTAAGAATTGGCTTTAATTGGGCGTCCATCTTCTTATCATCATATTTCGTCTTTGATCTCATGTGAATCATATCAAGCCTTAACCGAGCGGCCACTCACATAGACCCTGGCAATATTCCGATCATCGCCAGTCATTAGGAACTTCTCAAAGATCACGTCAATAGTGTCCTCCTCCTCCACCAGACACATTACTCCCGGTCGGTCAAGATCTAGGGTGTGGATCTCCAGCGCATCAAACTCTTTACCGACTGCGAAGTTTCCAATCCGATCATCGAGTCCACAAACCTGTGCACCACCTAGAGTAGCAAGGAAAAAGCATTCCGACAGAGACAATGCAGGGTCTCGGCCTTCAGTCTTCGTCTGCTGCGCATTTGACACAATAAAGGCCTGCTTCATGGCGTCTAGGATCGATGACGAGTAACCGCCGCCACTATCAGTACCCAGTCCCACCTTGATACCGCGACGCAAGTATTCCCTCACAGGTGCGATCATAAACTCTTGCATAGTAGTGTTTGCGATTGGGCAATGGGCAACACCACAGCCAAGCTCCTGGATGCGGCGCATTTCCTCTTCTTGCAGGAAAATGCAGTGCGCAAGGATGGATCGACCATTCAACAAATTAAATTTCTGATAGAGGTCCGCTTCCGTCTGGAACTCGGGGAAAAGCTGATTTGTGAATTCGATTTCCTGCTTTGCCTCATTGAAATGTGTTTGGATTGGCAAATCGGGATGTTCACGAGCAATGGCACCCAGCCCATCCAATAACTCTGGCTCACAGGATATTGCAAAGCGTGGTGTAATAATCGGCTTCACCAGCTGGAATCCTGGGTCAAGTTGGTGGACATGCTGGATAAGCTCATGCGTTTCACGCAGCGACTCCGAGACGGAGGAATCCCTGTACCAGTCCGGAGCATTCCGATTCATGTTACACTTTCCCACCAAAGCGCGTTGGCCTTTTTCAAAGCAGATGTCCGCCAGGATTCGAGTTGCCTCGCCATGGTGGGAACCGTAGTAAGATGCTGTAGTGATGCCCTGCTGCAAGAACCCCGCAACGCAAGAGGCATACGTGCGTTTGGCATATTCGGGATCTTCAAACTTGGCCTCGTGGGCAAATGTGACCTTGTTTAACCAGTCAAGCAGCGAGATCCCTCTTCCAACACCGCGTTGTGCCCACTGAGGTGCATGGTTGTGGGTGTCAACGAAGCCAGGACACAGAAAGTCCCCGCGCTTGAGATGTTTCACTGGGAAGACGTCGGGCGCATAGCCATTCTCTGAGACAAGAGAGTTGATCTGATCAGGTTCTACGCCTGCTTGGAAAGCCTGGATCTTGCCATCTTTACCCACGAGAATGAAGCAATTCTCCAAGATCTGGAGCTCGTCTGCGCTCTTGGCATGAATGGCTGTGCCGTGAAAGGCGAGAGGTAAACCCGAAGCAGGGGTAGTCTTCTTGTCCAGTTCCTCCATTATAAAGAAAGTACCGAGAGAAATACAAGTGAAGATGTCTTATCAAGAGGAGGGGTTGACATTAATAATCAGACGTCAGGCCTATGTAGACATCAAGATATGTCACATCTGCAGTGACTGAGATACATACATGTGCAGTGAAACTCGACATAACTGTTATTATGCACATTTGCAACATCATCCAACATCTAAACGAGCAGCTCAAAAGCAGAAAACACCCGATGCACTTTGACAACCAAGCCATCCATGAAGTCATAGAAAACATATTCGTAGAACTTGAACCGCTGTCCTGCAGGGACACCCATAAAATCCACATTGGGGGTCGAGATAAACTCAAGTCGACAAGCAACTTGGGAGGATTCCTCGTCGATCACCATGGTGACGGCGTCGAAGCCCAATCCGGGGAGCTTTTGGACTGCGTCGGCAACCAAAGTCTCAATCTCGTGGCGAGTCATGACTTTCTCGTTGTAAATCACTTTATCCGCCATAAAAGTCGCAAGATTGGGTCGCCAGTCTGTTCGGTCCGCGTGCGAGTTGAGCTCCTCGAGGTAGTTCAGATAGTGAGCTCTGAGACCCGCGGCAGGCATGGCCGCTTTGGTGGAAGGCATGGTGGCATTGAGCGGGTGAATGTGTGTATCTGGAGTAGCCATTGAGCCCTGGGACTTTCGAGACAAACATGTTAGTTGTCTGAAGGCTCGGTTGGAGATGGGATGTGTATAGGGCTTGGGCCGGATACCTTCAGTAGGAAAAGGCCGGCAGGTCTTCGACTCTCGCCTTGGTAAGTTCAAGATTTGAAGAAGGGAGAGTTAGAAATGGCATGAATTTATCTGGCTCTCTTGAACCAAAAAAGTCTAGCTCATTGCGTAAATATTCATAACATATCCATCTAGAAGCAAAATACACAAACTCCAGAGCCAGAGTCGCAGCGCCTAGTTTAACTTCTCTATTTGATGAGCACCGTCCTATCCAAGTGTGACGGACTCGTAAACTATTAACAGGATAATAAAGCGTAGCCAAGATAGTAAACTCCGTCTATCTCCAACAGAGCTCTAAATACAGAGAAAAATATTCGTTCAAAGGGTATAGTAAGATGCCATCTCCTCCTGGAACCAATTGTACGAGTAGAACAGTTGGTCCGCCATTTGCGGGTCGATCAGTGGGATAGCCCCGCTGCCATCCACGAGCAGTACGTCGTCGAGAACAGGAGCCAGCGGAACCGGAGGGGGTGGTGGTGCAGCTAAAGACAAAGAGGGCTGAGGCGGGATGAGTGCTGGTGGTGGTGGAGGTGGAGGTTGGAGGTGAGGGTGGTGTTGCTGCTGCTCTTCTAATTGCTGTTGTTGATAGGCCATTTGGCTGAAGATCGTCGTGCTCTGATGTCGGAATGTCTCTGCCAACTTGTCCACCCCGGGTCGACGCTTTCCAAATTCTTCCAAGAGGACAACAACAGCTTGAATTCCACGACGCATGGTCTGTTCGTCGGGGTTCCAAGGGGCCGGCTGCGACTCACGTAAGGAGCGGGCATTCTGCTCAAGGCACCACAGAATGGTGATGCCGGCAAAATAGACTTGACTTAACGTCAACCAAATCCATTTGAGCTTGCCAACTGAATAGCTGTCCCAATAAGATCGAATGACCTGGACGCTGGAGTCACCGCAGCTGACAATGCTAAGGGCATCGGGCGTTGGATTCCGAGGACTGGGGCGGTACATCAAAAGTAACGTTGTGTAGTACAGGTAATCGTAATACGAGGTGGAATAGAGGAGAGCCGATGGATATACTGGAGCAGCCATGCGCCAATCGTCGACCTCCTGGCGGAATCGACCGAGTGTTGCGGCGGCCTCTTGGGGCGAGGGACGCGGCAGGCTGCTGTATACTACGAACCGTTAGATAGAACCAGACTAAGGCATAGAGTCCACTTACGATATTGATAGATACGCGAAAAGATCCGCCTTAGGCGAATTACCTGCAACGGAATGGTCATCGCACTCGCGCCAGGCGCCTCAATTCCGTCCTCATTCAGTTCGCGCAAAAGACCCACGCTGATATCGTCGTCGGAAATCCCTAATGGCCGGCCCAAAGTGCTAGCAATCAGGCGATCCAGGTTATAAAGACTCCAGAAAGCGCGTTTGGACATTTCTTCCTCCGCAATACTGGAGTATGATCGTGCTTTGTGTAAACCGAGACTAGTCGCTAACCTCATCGTGGTACCCAGCACATGCCAAATACTAGGCCCTGCTGTTGCAAACATGGTATACAGGGCCAGCCCCAATAGTGCTCGTACAGCCGGCAAATCCTCATTCTGCAATGCCAGTGGGAGAGTTTCCTGACTGGCACGGTAGAATTCGGCGGCCTGTGTTGGATCTGCCGATCCTATCAAAAGTGAAATGGCCATCACGATATGGTAGGAATTGTGCGTTTCCGGGGATGGGACACCGCCAGTATAGATGTGTCGCAGATTTCCCATGAACTCGAGGCGAGACATGAACGGGTATTGGTAACCCATGCTATCGAAGTATTGCCCAGCTATCCGTTCGGCTTCCTCCAGCGACGCCAGGCGCATCACCCGTGGCGCGGCAGAAGGTCGCGCGACTGACGGTCGGCGATGCTCCAGCTGATCGCGAAATATTTCCCCCACATTCGGTAGTTCAGTGCCCACTGCGGTCGACGCCTCCGACGGACCTGCAGTCGAGGAACCACCACTGCCGGCAGGGCTCGGCATTGAGGTCGGACGATGCCCGGTCGCAATCAGAGCGGGCACTTGATACCACCAGTCCGGGTCTCCGTCGCCATCCACTGCAGTCCCCGTGGGTAATTCCCCCACAGAAAGACCTGACTTGCGGCGCACAATCTCTTCTAGCCATCGCACTCGTTTCTGGAGGTTCTCGAGCTGATCACGGGGAACGGAGGCACTGGCGACTTGGGGGCCGGGTGGGGGGATGGTGCATCGGACTCCAGCTCGGGTGCAGGCGGAGCAATTGGGGTATCGAAAATCGCATTTCTTCTTTCTCTTGCGACAGAAGTCACAGGCGGTCGACACTCGTTTGCTGCGCGAGGGCGAGGACTCTACCGGTTCATGGTACACCGGCTGCGGCTGCCATGTCGAAGGGGTGAGAGTGTTGATGGAGTCAAGACGAAACTTGCCCAGCTGGTCGCGGAAATCCTTATTCCCCATGCTGACACGGGCTCGAGTCCATCGCAGTCGCCATCGAGTGATTCGAGTGCAGACTGGGGAGTGGCGGGGGCGAGCTTTGCCCGGATTTCGCTTAGGGCCGAGTGCCGATTCCCTGCATGCTTACATACTGTAGATGTACGTCTACACTAGCTTAACTTATAACTTACATGACGGAGTGCGCCATTCAGCTGGGATTACTGCTGCATGTGTTTCTTGATCTACATATTCCCCGTGTCATCTATTTCGGAATACGAGATCTGCCAGGAACCGCCCCTGATAGCCCGTGGCTATACGAGATCTCCATACCAATGAACATCTACCTACAACAGGAGAGAGACATACGTATGGACATCCGCAGAGGAGACACAATACATGTACATGCTTCTGCAGACCAACACTCCGGAGTATATCCCCGGATTGTTGGGCCCAGGGCCTTCGGTTGCTGAAACAGCGACTTGTCCTTTGTTGGCCTTTCGACACTCAGGTGGACTGATCGGCATCACTCATTCCTGACTGGGGAAAAATTGGGGCCCCGTATCTACACGACGATCCCCGAGATTGTTATTTTGGGATACGATGCCACTGCAACGTTGACCTTGAAGCTTCGATTCCTGGGGGCATAAAGAGGGGACATGCTCCCTCCTTTCAGTTGACAACACTCACTTCTTCCTCTACACTCATCATGAAGATTACTGCCCTCCCACTTCTGCTCGCTGCCGCTAGTGCCACTCCTCTCGAGACCCGCGCTAGCGGTGTCCAGGGCTTCGATATCTCCAGCTACCAAGGCACGGTGGACTTTGCTGGTGCATACAGTTCGGGTGCACGTTTCGTCATGATCAAGGTAAATATTTATTCCAACATCATTACAGGTAGGACCATACTAACTATTTAGGCGACCGAGGGCATCACATACACCGACAAGACGTTCTCGAGTCACTATCAGGGTGCATCTTCCGCTGGCTTGATCCGCGGAGGATATCATTTCGCTCATCCTGACAGCTCGTCTGGAGCCAAACAGGCTGAATACTTCCTTGCCCATGGTGGTGGCTGGTCCAACGATGGCAAGACCCTACCCGGCATGCTGGACATTGAATACAACCCGTCCGGCGCAACTTGCTATGGGATCAGCAAGTCTGCCATGGTGGCCTGGGTCAAGGACTTTGGTGAAACCTACAAGAGCAAGACTGGCCGTTACCCCATGATCTACACGACCGCAGACTGGTGGAATACCTGCACTGGAGGCAGCACAGCTTTCAGCAAGGATTACCCCTTGGTGTTGGCTCGGTACAGCACCTCTGTGGGCACCATCCCCGGTGGTTGGTCATATCAGAGCTTCTGGCAGAACTCGGACAAGTATACTTATGGTGGTGATTCGGACCTGTGGAATGGCAGCGAGGCCTCTCTCAAGACATTCGCCAAGGGTGCTTAATGTTGGAATGTTTTCGACTGTCTATGGACCCTCTATTTCCGTTAATAGGTTACAGTTGGGCGTCGGAGGAGCGCATACATGTAAATAGTTCCATCTGCCTGACTTTTATGGGAATTTAGTCGGTTTTCTCTTTTTGCCCTTGCCAATCCAATTAAGTACTAATTTCGAACCCTTGTACACCGGTAAGGTGTAGATTCTTGCTTCCAGGGAGGAATCCACCCTATAGATTCCCTAGATAAGGTAAGATCAACGCAACCCTTCGGGCGGTCTGATTAGGGGCGGCTGCCATGACTTTTTTTCTTCCTCCGTGCATTTTACGGAGACTAATATCATCAGTCAATGGCTTCTATTGATCTCTTCTATTCATTGCAGCATTAGTAAAACGAACATTTCGGCGCAAGACGGCAGGGCGTCGGACTCTATAGGGCGTCGGACTCTGTAGGGCGTCGGATCTCTCCCGACATGCCGACCTTCTCTTACTTATCTGGGACCCCGACAAGCTACTGCCTACCTGGTTAATTAGTAATGCTTTCTTTCCTTCCCTTTCTTTCTGTCTTTCTTTCCTCTTTCCTTCTTTCTTTCCTACTTTGCATTCAATCATGCACCTCATTCAATATGCTGTCGAAGCCGACGCGCCGGGCTTGGCTCGAATCAATGTCGAAAGTTTCCTAGGACGACGGCTATTTGCTGAAGTGTTTCCAACGAGCAGCGTGCCTCAGATGTCGGAATATAAAACAAAAGTCGGCATGAAGCATCTTGCAGACCCAAATATGCACGTCCTGAAAATCCACGACGAGGCCAGCGGCGAGCTGGTAGCATATAGTCGGTGGCTGATACCCGAGGCTTTGGGATACGGACCAACTGTGCCTACACTTAGTGAACAGGCTGTCGCGTTCGCCAAAGACCCTGTGGCATATGCTCCTCGGCCAATGAAAGAAGAGGTGTATAATGCCTTCAAGCAAATGCTGGAGAATGCCCGTAAACGATATACAACAGAGAATGATATTGGTATGTTAGCCTCGCATTGGAAGGATCTGGTCTAACAAAAAGCATGCAGTGCTTGACTTACTAGCAACTTTACCGGCATATCAGGGACGAGGATTTGGGACTGCCGTCTTGAAATGGGGAATTGAAAAGGCGGATACCTCTAAATCTCGCATCTTCCTTGAGGCTACCCCCGAGGGTGTCCCTCTTTATCTGAAGTATGGATGGAAACAATTAGAGGAGGTGACCATGGACTATAGGCCATTCGGGGGCGATGGAAGCGAATCTTTTTACCTGATGATGAGAGATCCCTCGAATTGATATAGATCGGGTTCCGTTTATATACAACTTCGTACATCTACTGTATATCCATGGGTAAATACATTGCCGGTGCCGACGCACGTCACACCCCCGCATTATTGTTCACCTCTTCACTTCTTCCTTGATTCACTTCTTCATTTTTGTTCACTTCTTGTTCTCTTTCACAAATGGCGAAACCCAAGTTTGCTATTCTCGACGACTATCAGGGCATTGCGCCCGCTTACTTTGCACACCTCGAGTCGCGCATCGATATCTCCAGTTTCCCCGAAACCCTCGACCCCCGCGATCCTAGACAGCACGATGCTCTCATCCAACGACTCCTTCCCTTCGATGTGATATTAGCAATGCGCGAGCGAACCCCCTTTGCTGCCAAGACAATCTCCGCGCTGCCGAATTTGAAACTCCTTCTGACCACCGGAACCCGCAATCTCTCGCTGGACCTCGAAGCATTTGCGCGTGCCAACATCCCAGTCGCGGGGACCGAAGGGCGACCTCCTGGTGTCAATTCTACCGTGCAACATACCTGGGCCTTGATTCTAGCGCTTGCTCGGAACGTGGCACGCGACGATGCGGCAGTGAAGCGGGGTGAATGGCAAGGCTCCCTGGGGTTAAATCTGTCTGCAAAGACCCTCGGACTGCTTGGTTTAGGGAAACTCGGATCTCAGGTGGGAAAGATTGCAGTGCTGGCCTTTGGGATGAAAGTGTCAGCCTGGTCGACCAATCTGACCCAAGAAAAGGCCGATGAGCAAGCTCAAGCCCAGGGCCTGCCTGCCGGATCATTTGTGGTCGCTCCATCCAAAGAAGAATTCTTTGCACAGGCCGACGTTGTGAGCTTGCACAATGTGCTCTCCGATCGTAGCCGCGGCATTGTCGGTACTGCCGAGTTAGCCAAGATGCGATCCACTGCGTTCATTGTCAACACTTCACGTGGGCCGTTGATCGATGAGGCTGCCCTCCTCGAGGCCCTGAATGCAGGCCGCATTCGTGGCGCGGCACTTGACGTGTTTGACCCGGAGCCATTGCCTCTTGATAGTCCATGGCGAACAACTCCGTGGGGTCAAGACGGGCGCAGTGAGGTGGTCTTGTCGCCCCACATGGGGTACGGCGAAGAAGAACTATTGCGAGGTTGGTATCGGGAAACAGCTGAGAATCTGGAGAGGTGGCTTAAGGGGGAAGAACTGGTGCGCAAGATGAATTAATAGAGATGAATGAGGTATAAGTAAATATAGAAGTACAGAATAGAGTAGAAGCATCACATGTAATCCTACATGTCTCACCGGACACCAGAATGCGACCATCGGACGATCATATCCCCACGTCCTTAGTGATTTTAGTTTGTTTAGCGTCGTTAGTGACTGGGGTTCCGTTTTAGGCTTCGTCTCCGGATTTGTCGTCATACTGCCTCGGTTTCGGAGCTGCGCATGTCCTCGGTTCAAGGGATGTAAATAAAAGCCACTTCATTCCTCTTGCCTTTGCTTGCATTCTAATTTGTCTTTTTCCTTTCTACCTCCCTCTCATTCTTACTTCTCAATATGGCCCCATCCGCAGACCCTATCCCCGCGCCCACTCTCGCCAGTGGGTTCCCTCCTCCGACCCATCCCGATCGCCTGCGTGTCGACCGCAGCACCAAAGCCTTTGGAAGCGGAGCTTACTCTCTGGTTGATCTCCCCGCTGGCGCCGTCTTCGCCAAGATCACTACGGCCACTCCCGGCACGAAAGCCTACACCAGCGTGCAGACTGGCCCCGACACCCACATTGAGCTCAATTCCGACTTGGTCTACTGCAACCACTCTTGCGCGCCATCGCTGAACTTCGATATGGGGCGTATGGAGGTGCGCGTCGTGGATGATCGGCCATTGAAGGTCGGCGACGCCCTTACCTTCTTCTACCCCAGCACCGAGTGGGACATGGATCAGGCATTCCAATGCACCTGTGGAGCGGGTGACGGAGTCTGCAGAGGCTGGATCTCTGGAGCCAAGACCATGTCACCAAAGGAATTGGATGGCTACTGGCTCAATGACCACATTGCGACTTTGTGCAGGGAGAAGGGCAACTAAGGGGCGCACTACTGAACGAGGACATGAGATAGAGACCGAAAACGAAAGATATAGAGAATAGATACCAATGACACGTAAATAATGAAATACCAAAAAAAAAAAAAGAAAAAGAAGCTCTCGTTGTTCATAAATATACAATCAGACATTCTCAACTCGCAGCCCCGCCGATGACTGCCATCTGGATCATCCTTCGTCGGTCAATTTCTTTCTTCAGCATCATCAGGCAAGTTGCAGCCACGAGTGCCTCGTCCAATTCAAGTGACTGCAAAGCTGCTTCGTCGATTTGCAATTCTCCGCCATTGCCCGCAGTACATCGTGATGTGCCTGGTGTCCGAGAGTCTGCCCCGCGGACTAACTGTGCAATTCGGATATCCTGCTCTTTACTTTCGCCCTTTTCCCCTATCGCTCTGAGAACAATGAGGTTTATTTTCTGTCCATCGGGTCGTTTCTCCTTGGCATATTCCCATTCAAAACACTTTCCGCCAGGCATCTCGAACCGCGCAGCGCGCGAGGTCCATTTCCCAGTGACTGTCACAGATTGGTGATCGGTACCCTGTAAGTGATGCAAAATGGGATCGCGATTCGGACCAAAGAAGTATTCCGTACGGATAAGCTCTCCGCGCTTCGGGTGCGACAAGACCGCATTGCCTGACCAGCGTTTGTCGCGCGTAGAGACATAGGCTTCGCTGCCGTCTGCATTGTAGATAAAGATCTCTGTCTGTCGAGATGGCAGTGGAAGACGGAAGGCTCCAATGCCTTGCGCATTAATAGTCAAGATGCGCGATGGTTGAAAGGAAGTACTTTCATTGAGTGTACATAGAGTACTGCAGGATGCCACAGACAAGGCAGAGGAATGAACCTCCTCCTTGATATCAAGATTGGTAGTAGTGGTAGTGGTAGTCATGATGCCTAACCCCTCTCATCTCATACCTCGCGCCGCTTTATATCTTCTTCTGTGCCTTCCAATACGAGACTTGCCTGATCGGGCATGAAGGTCAACCTAAAACCGCCGATCCATGGAACCTAAATCGTGGCTTGGCATCTCGTATCCGCTCCGCCTCGTGGCTCTTCTGAGGCTTAGGATGACAGTCCCGTGTTTTCAGCGAGCCTGACTTCAACTTAAGGATTTACATTCAATGTGTGAATTCCATTTATATTAATCAAAAACTAGCACCATCCTATTTGGTTCGGTGGTAACAAATGCTGCCACTGCATGCAAATGTATATGGGTATCATGACAGAAACAAGTATTTAGATAGAGCAACCAAGCATAATCTTCAGTCTCGTTAGCACGAATGAGGTCAGAAGTTCGAAGCCCGCGAGTTGCCCGCGGTAGGGATCCATAGGGAGGACTTCCTGGCCCACGGCCACTCCTAGTCCAGTCCCATGTGTGGATCCTATCTGGCAGAGGGCTGTACGTAGCTGAACCTCTTGGGCTTCGGTGGCACAGCCACATTGCGTCACACTGAATATTGGTCATAGCACCTGGACAGCCTTGATGCTTGTCAGTCCACGACTCGAACAAGGAGTTGGGCGTCCCAATGGATGGATCTCTCCTAGTGCGAATGGAAGAGTCTGGCAAATCTCGGTGGCCTTGTCAATTATGATTTCCTGTGGTAAGCGAATATACCCTTCCTATCTCCATACTTTCCCTGTACAGCCATCTAGATATCCGTGGATCTGTAAGAGTGTCCGTTGGAGAATGATTCTTGTGCCACGGGAATAATTCCGAACACCCGCCGAGGTGAGATCAGGATGAAGAATTCGCTTTTCCGCCGGGTTTTGGGTGTTTGCGAGGCAGCCATGCTTCTGCTATGCCACAATGCCACTGACTGAATTGCATGTTAAGGTGTTTGCTCTGTTCTGGGAAAGATATCACGGCCAAAGCATTCGACTGCTCGGTATTCTCATAGGAGAGCAATTGCGAAACCGTGGGACAACATCTAGGATTTTGATGCTGCCTGTCATCTGATAGACGGCGTATCCAACAGTCGGTCCAAATTAATCTGCATGGGATCTTTTAGGCCCACAAATTGAATCAACTGTGCAAATGTCAGCAGAAGCTTGCTCCACGCGTGGCATCCTATACCATTCCATTTGTGTAAACGCAAAGTGAAACAGTGACTGGGTTGTAGGTCACTGAGCTGTCGAACCCCACGCGGCTTTAGGAGGGCTGCCGGTAAGCTTGCAAGATGAGTCCCATCGGCTTTCTTATCGTGGTAGAGCGTATACAATAGAGGAATCGAACCCAGTGGTCGATGGCTGCCATCTGGCTCAGCGAGCAAGTGAACTGGTCAAGAAAATAACAATGCCCATGATTTTCCCACTAAGAGTCTAATAATAATCGAGGAACTGACAGTCCAATATTGGGCGTCTTTGGAGCATTGCATTCCGAGAGACCAGTATCGTCCGTATTGTCCATTCTGGTCAATTGTTCGTGACTTCGTCTGGTTTTTGTTGCTGAACAGCGTCTCAACTTTTTTGATTTTCATTAAGAAAGACCAACCAGATACTGGTCCAATACCCGGGGCAGGTTTTCCCATAGATAGCACAATTCCCGCAAGATGGTTTCCCTCATCGCACTGCCACTCATTAGATGTGTTGGTGCAAGGGCCCAGTCTTGCTCGCCTTAACCTTGCGCTTCCTGCAAAGAAAGCCTCCTTGGCTCCGCTGACACCCTAGCATTTATATCCGATAACAGAGGCATTGCACGGGCTTGAGACGGTGAGTTGGAGAAGGTTGACTGAAACCTTCCCGATTGAGCTGTGACCCAGCAACTTCTGGTTATGGTGGAGACATACCATCCCAATTGTGTTTTCGCTCATGTAGCACAGTTTGGCTACCTCTCCCATCGAACTGGGCTTGTGGTTTAGTGGTATAATACTCCCTTAGCATGGGAGTGGTCCGGGGTTCGATTCCCCGCGAGTCCATTCTTTTTTGTTTTTGCTTTTTTACATCCGCCTCAAAAAGTAATTGGTAATAATCTCGGTAGTGCTTTGGCATTTTGATCAAATTGTCCTATGTGTGGCTCGCGTTCTTTTTATTCTCTGATACGCTTCCGCTTGGTATACACAGATCTATATCTAATGTCTACATAATACTGCTTTTGTCTATGGCCAATACATCCAACCCTCACACCCGAGCCCAGATATTTTGAGCAGTCAGCAGTGTACTCAATACCATGGTAGATCCAACCACAACATCCCCTGTGGGCATCCAGTTGAGAAGCTCCAGTGGGATGAGCAAATCACAGCCATCGACCACAATCTGCTGGATCAAAGCAGAGGAAGGAGTCGCCTTGACGGGAACAGCCTTCTTGGACTCGACTTTCTTCTTCTCGCCATCTTTCTTGGCTAGTTGCTCTGAGGGACCGAAAAGAAGCGCCCAGATACCACCTGCAACCGAGAAAGAGAGAGCATAGAGCCAGAAAGTATTGGCTTGGTCCATGACGGGATCATGCCAAGACACTGCATAGACACCCATAGCATGAAGCTGGTTCATGGTCAGTGCCAATTTTCAGAGTAAAGCAAGCAACATACCGTAGTCAAGTCCTCCAGGACGAAATAGAGGCCAAAGCAGGTCCACTTAGCAAGTTCAATCAGTCCACCCACAGAGCCGAATCCATCCCTGCCTAGCAATGCAGACATGCGCTGGAAGGAGTCAATGAACCCGAAGAAACGGAAGTACCTCCGCGCTAGACACCAGACTCACGTTAGCATCTAAAGGGCCAAACATGCAGATTTCTTCTTCTATAGAGTGTACGCCGACTTACCCAATGCCAATTGCAACTTGACCGTCGTCAATTGCACTGCCAGGGCACTGCTGACGGTGAGCGCAGCGACAACCTGTGCCGTGCATTGGATCAGGCGAAGGGTCTTCTCCAGGCCAGCACCGGAGTTAACGAAACGAGAGAACTTTTGAATCATTGCTGCGGTGCAGTTTCATTCTCCGGGAAAGAGGTCTCGAGCGATTTGTCTTTGTGTGTCGACGGGTTGGAGGCGGGCTAATCCCCGGCCACCCCAGGTGCGCTAGTCTTTGCTTATTCAGCCTTGCATGCTCTGGTTTAAGAAGTAGTTGAAATGCAGTCAATTCCTTTTGTTTTGTCAGATATTACTGTTGAAGATGGTTGGACCTCGTGTTGGTGGTCTTTAACAGCATTGGGGTAGGTTTATGGCAATGTCCAGTCCGAGATGTATATAATATAGATTGACAGGTTCAGCACCAGCTGGTACTCCGTAACTATGTTGAAGTTTGTAAAGTGAAATCAATTGAAACACGAAATGAGACAATTCTTGCGAAACATTAGTGATATATCAGCCCAGCTGTCTACGAGCAGGTTTATCACTGCTCAGCAATATTTCCAAATGTACTCCGTATTCTACCGTCCTTTGCCGCCTGAAATGTCCTGACCCAGACGATACCCACCGACCTTCTCCCACTCCACCTTCTGCCGCGTAATGGGGAGCTGTCTCCGCAGACCCTTGAATACACCCTCGGCTGTCTGGACAAAGGCCCGGTTCAGAGCCTCCTGATAATCTCGCTCCGCCGTTGCAATGCGCGACACTATAGATTCGGCGGAAACGGAGGGGATAGAAATGCTGACAGGTTTAGTAGTGTTGAGCGCCACGTTGCCGTCTTCGTAGTAGTGCACATCGACGTGGATCTTGCCGGTCAGGGTGGTAGAAGAAGAGACAGGGACATGGTAGATTGTGCGGAAACGACCGTTCCTATTGGGATTTAACAGGCAGCCTTCCCCAGGCGGGGAGGCATCCAGTATGATTAGTTTTATCCAGATTGCCGAAGGAGAGTAGCCACTCACCAGAAGTTGTTAGGGGAGTATCGGTTTGCGACCAAGAGAATGGCAACGGCGGAGTCATCCTCAATAGGGTAGACACCATAGGAGCAGTCGGGGTAGTGCTCACGGGCATGGGCACCGAACGACTTGAGCAGCGATTTACTAGACATGGTTAGTATCTTCTCCAGGACTTTTGATATCCGGG